CACTGTACTTTTTTAACTATTGACATTTTTAAAGATATAAGTTCATCCCGATGTTACACTCATCAAGAGCTTTCATTTGAGTACCCACATGCATTTTTGATATATATTTTTCATATATACATATATATCTAATATATATAAATATATGAAAAATTGATGTGGATACTCAAATGAAAGGTCTTGATGAGTGTAACATCGGGATGAGCTTTTATCTTTAAAAATGTTAATATTTATCACAAGATAAAAGGTCATTTCTTAATTATGTATCTTAATAATATAGATCAGATAATAATTACTATTTTGATTTTCAGCCTCGCTGTAATTGTGATGATGCCTTGGTACAACTGGCAGTGGGTCATCAATGGCATATTTGTTGAAAAAAACTGGTGTGCGATCATCTTTATAATTTGGAGCAAAGAGCAATCGCCTGTCGAGCGACTGAGTTGCCCCGGGAACATTGTGCGAGGTCGCTGTCCCACTGCGGGACAACCTACTGTTAGCAGTGACGATTCTAGATGTACTTGGTAGCTCGCAAGTGTGTCTCGTGGGACTAATTGACTGATGGAGATGATGTTGACGAGGTGAGCCACTGGTACTCGCCAGAGTGGATCGCTTTGTAAAGTCATTAAAGTTGCCATCGACGTCGTAACGACGCGGAGGATTAAATCGATGAGCCTCTCCTGTAGCTCCGACTGTCTCGGAGTGTGTTGATCGGGGCATGCTTCCTGAATTACCAAGAGCCGAGTCTGTCGATTTATGACTCGCCCTAACGGACCTACGTAATGACGCTGGTCGTGATCCAGCTCGGCTAATAAATTCAATAACAACATCGATAAATATATATATATATATATATATATATATATAAATGGTAAAGTACAGTAAAGTAATGAGGTCATCTCTAGATTTTCTAGTTAAGTTGGAGGTTTTATTTTATTACCCAGACCCCTGACGAACGCTGTATCCTCGAGCTAAGTAGCTGCTCCGAACTCGCCTTGGCTTAGGCGGTCGTGTGCAAATGTAGCAGCAAATTTTCCAGTAAAGAAATCTTAAAATACAAGCGATAGTATAAATAAAAAATAGTTAAATAATAATATTTAAATTTTATGAGTCAGAGTTAGAGTCAGAAGTTGGCAGTCCAAAAATAAATTTGGTTTATGGTTGGATAATGCTAATCGAATCCAATGTCGAGTGACCCAAAGAATATCGACTTACGGTCGAACGAGCTAATTTACCTGAAGCTTGAGGCCATGACATCCCCGATATTCGATAGACATAGCAACATCAGGGGAATCCCAAGTATAGCATAGAAAATAGTTACGACCTTGCCGTTTGGAGTCTTTGGAGATATGTGACCGTATCCTATAGTTGTGATAACAATTATTGAGTAAAATAGAGCACCGGCAAACGTCCACTGAATATTGTCCTCTTCTTCGCTTCCGTCCCAACCGTCTTTTTTCATTTTCTTTAAAAGATCTGTTTCAAAAGCCTACAATTCACATCAATGACAACAATGAAGATGAAAAAAAAAAATAATAATAATAATAATACTAACAATGGTACAATGTAAAATATAAATTGTATCGCTTGTGTATATACTTTACCCGCAATTTTTCAACTACATCGTCCGTCCAATTTTTTCTTATAAGTATCTCCGCTGATTGTGTCATTATCCATAACTTTTCGGTTACATTACCCCGGATATCTTTGATGCTACGCTTCACCTATCAGGTATATTTTAATATTATATTATATTTAAAATGAAAATAAAAAGTTTTTTAATATTAAAACACGTACGTCTTTCTCATGACCAGATTCAAGTCTTTCAAAGGCCCAAGCACCGAGAACGCAATAAGCTACGACAAGTGATACAAGTGTCACATGTGAAAATATACATTTGAAAAACTTCCATATTAAACAAAGTAATATCAAACACTTGGACGGTGTTTCAAATTCAACATCCATCTCCGCAGAATCCATCATGTATTAAATTTAAAGATTATAAATCTTTAATCTGTAGTAAGTAGTAGTAGTAGTAGTAGTAGTAGTAGTAGTATCTTCCACTTGTTGTAAGTTACTATAAGGACTCGTAACATAAAGCTCAAGAAGAAATGGTCGTATCCAATTATATTTTTTTTTAAGTATTCAAGTTTAGAGCAGAGTTACTATATAAAGCCCAGTCCATCTGTTTAGCAAACCGAGTGGAGCGGGTTTGGAAAAAAAATAAACTCTCAAGAATAAATAAAATACATGGTAAAAAAGAAGTAATGTAATATTTTAAGTGTAAATTTAATATTATGAAATGACATTTAATTATGTATAATTTTTTTAGCAGCACTTGTTCACTTAGAAGGAAAATAACCGATGACAATTACAGTGATAATGATAATGATGGTGTTACGAGCCGTTTTTCATAAGCGACTAGCGTCGTTGTCTCGTCGGCATGTGGAGAAAATACGGTATTTCTCTGTTGAGTAGGCGGTAGTGTTATATTTATCCTCTAACCACCCACCGCTGAGCATTCGTCGCGGCGTCAAGATGTTGTGTAGTTTAGATAGAGGATTTTGCAGAGCTCTTTACATCTGTGTTATAGTTATATAGACCCGCCAGCAGAAGCTACGTCTTTGTATAAACTCAACCAGTAGCTCTGCTCAGTTTATATTAAATACAATACTTAAACTAAGAGAGAAACATCCTCAGAGCAATATTATGTATACATCACACGGATCAATCTCTTTCATCTGTACCAGACCGTTCAGTTTTACGTCATTAATTTCTTAAGCTGGATTACATTCATTCATGAATTTCCTTCCGTCACACTCTCGCTTATTGTTTATTTATATTGCGTGTAATAACTAATTAAATTTACACTCTAAATTATGTATGTATGTATAAATATTTCATGTTTTATTTATTAAAAACCATTCCAAATATTGTAATTAAAGTTAATAATATCAATGCGTAGTCTTATATATAATAGTAATAATAATAATATCTAAAATATATAACAACATATTACTGTACATACAATTTATAAGAACGCGCTTGTGTCGGCGGTTCTCGTCAATTTAGCATAAAAAAAAAAAACTAAAATAAAACAATATAAAAGACCTTGTAGTCTCAAATGTGGCACATATGTGAAGACCCTTGTAAAAAGACGTAACCGCGTTCACACACATGCGCATCGTCCAATGGCCAATAATAAAAGTCTTAGCTACTAAATAAAATTCATGGTGCAACGTCAATCGCCCTCTGTTCCGCTAGACGTCTTTAGTTTCAATCCAATCTTCCAACACACTGTTGATGTCCAGACGTGCAGAATACTCGGCCATTTATATTATATTTCTTCTTTTAATTTTTTTTTTTTTTCCTTAGCAGTAATAATAATCATAATAATAATAATAATAATAAAAATATACATTCATATATATATATATATATATATAGATGGATAAGGTTACTTAGAGGACGATCGAGGCTGACCATGAAATGGGGAACGCAAGAGAGATAAGAAAGAGGAATGAAGAGAAGAAGACATGAGTAAGTCCTTGATGGGAAAGCCTTCGTCGTTCCACGGATACGGCGTACTCGTAATTCAAGGACAGATTAAACGATGTAACTGGCACACACGATCGTCTACCCCGTGGCGTCGATCCGTGGAACAAGGAGCTTGTTACACGCTACGTCTATACATAGGTATAAGAAAATTTAAATATTAAATTCATCAAGATAATAGCAATAGTAAAATTAATAATGATAAGAAAAATAATTATTTTAAATGAATATTAATTGTAGGTCGTGATGATTATTTGATTATTTATCCTGGCCCGAAGAATCCGAGCTTCTCCAGGGTGTTGGTGACACGTTCGACCAGCTGGTCTTTATACTTCCAGATCTGCGTATCTACGACGCTGTTTTTCCGATACTGTAGGCACGTTTTCTTCAGCGAGGTAACACAGTCGGCTCTGTAGTGCTGAAGCTGAGCGTCCTCAGTCTCGATGGGGTAACTCGTGCACCCAGAGCCGAGGCATGCCAGCGGAAAATGATTATGCACAGTGACAATACGTTCCGGATTATGAAAGCACTTTATGTACTCATTAGGCTTAGTGAAGTTCGACGAGCGGTATACGTGTTGGAGCATGTGCATGTACCTGGATCAAAAGAATTATACAGTTATAGTAGTTATTTTAAATAAATTACCAACGTATTATATATAATATAAAATAAATGCATTTGTGTTAAATCAAAGTCAGCAGACAAGTATGAAGAAAAAAAAAATAATTGAACGGTATAAACAGTACTTGTATTTTGTATTAGTAGTAATGCGTGTTGATGTTTGCTAGTAGGATACTTACTTCGGCACGTGGTCGAAGAATCCGTGTGAGTGTAGAAGGTCATCGAGAAAGTACACGTTTCTGACGTTGTACGAAGCACGAGTTTCATTGCGTATGCGAAGAGCCTTGGGTAAAACGCGTCGCATAAGTTGACTCCACGTAAAATCTTTAATTGGCATTATTACTTCATCAATATCAAGCAGAGCTATGTACTCGTACTCGTACATGTGTTTGTAAAGACAATCATTGTAGGGTATCAATTCATTTTGTCGCTTTTGATTGGTCTTTTTTTTCAAATAAATGTGCTGAAACGTCGGAATGTTCGGCTGCCCACCAGGAAGCGTCAGAGGCGTAACATCAACTTGTCCTGTTTTTTTGTAATACTCCAAAACTTTCGTGATGTTTGGATGTACTTGGAGCTCATAAAAAAATATTTTGTCAGCGCCTAGAATACTTATTAGCTCGATCCACTCGACCAGCCGTACTGATAAATCTTCATGAAGAAAATCTAGACCTTTCACGCAGACCGCAAACTCTTTCTTTTTACCCTCTGGCGGTTTGTTGTAAATTACCCGTAAATTAGTAGTCGCTATATCACACGGCTTCTCAACAATCGAGATTGATGCTGGAGGATCTTTCGACCAGTGAGATTGGGGTATTTTACACGCAATCACGTAAGGCTGATAAATACCTTGCTTGTAACTACCCCACTTTTTGAACCAAATATATTTATATTCAAATACATCAACAACTTGAGGTTCTTTTTCTCCATCGAACCACAATTGGCAGTAAGTTTTTATTTTAGGTTCAATTCTGTCGATCATACCAACGATTCTAACTGCCGGGCCGATTTTTGAAAGCTTACGAATATCGTAGTAGGCTCCAAAAAGTTGGAAAGTTCCGTTGGATGATTTCAATGTTTGCCAGTACTTGTTATTGAACTCGAGCTCGAGAATATTCGGATAACGAGGTACACACAATTTGTTTGTCTTGGTATCATTACCGGTTTGTTCAGTAGTGGATGTTGTTGTTGTCGTAGTGCTCCTTTTGTACCACGAGACTACAGGTAGACTAGGAAATTGATTTTCCATCTCGTTGATGAGTTCCTGTTCGGAGCGCGGCGGCCGTTCATCCAGCAAAAGTTTTTTGTTATTAAATTCCTTGAGTCTTTGATTAAAAACAGCAATAGAAGACGAAACACCTGCAGTTGGGTCATTGTGATGGGACTCTGGATCGTCATCCAGTGGCTTACGTCGGTGCGACGAGTATGGCTCTCTTGCGAAATTTATAATTGAAGAATTACCATTTCTTGTAGCCGATGACGCTGATAAAGAAGATAACGGTTGATCAGATCCACGATCCCATGATCCTGTCGGATAATTCACAGCACTCTCAATACCCACTGACTCACTCGGCTGGAGGACTTGATTTATTGACTGACGAAATTGCAGCGCTGCTATCATTATGAAACTCCAGACAAATACGAAGACAAGAATCCGACGAGCGTAGCGGCTCGCGCCTCGGGTTGTCCAATTTTGCAGCATTTTTTTTTTTTTTTTTTTGTCGATTTAATTTAATCAACTACTACACACTTTAAGGCGGTGATGATACTGATAGTCTGGACTGAGGTGTGAATCATCGACACTGGTAGTGTACTATCTAGTCTATCCGCTTGGTGTCGTATTGTTTGCACTCCAACTGAAAGCAAAGACACATCAGTAAGTGTTAATCAAAAAATAATTTGAATAAGAAGGAGAAAGCCGTGTGTTGGCTTGCTATGCTATGCTATGCGTTGGTGCAACGATGCATGCAGTTGTAAAAATCAAAGAGAAAGACACCAACTAGCAGAGACAGTATAGATATATGGTAAGTGAAAGATAAAAAGAGTGAGAGAAGGTAAGAGGGAAGTAAAAAAATTATCGCTTAAAGGTAGACGCGAGACTCGGTGAATCCGCGACAAGCCGAGCGGAACCGGTTACCGAGTTTTTCCACTTGGTCGTCCTGTTGACCGGTATGGTGTACTCCGTGGCACCTCTCGACTAACAAGTATCCTGCTGCGACATCCTCAAGCTTTTCACCATCAGTGGTTTATCATGACCAGCGATCGTAATGTAAGCTCGATTGCTCATTTTAAATTCAAGCTTAGTTTCTATTCGCGATCTTTACCCGACTGTCAAACTTAGCAATTATCTGATAGCAATAAAATACTCTTTCAACACTCTTGCTGGTAGTTGGTGGTAGTTGGCAATTTTCTACAAGCGTACACTCTTCAATCAACTTTTATCTTTAGCCCCTGGCTGCTGCTGCTGCTGTTACTTCTAATTCTACTGATATAACTACTGCTAGTTAATTGCTCTAGTTGCAGCAATGTTTCTTCGCGTAGACTCGCTAATCGAGTTGCGTCCTAACTGAAGACACTGCCGATTTCTCCAAGTGATTCGTGACTGGGTTTGTCTTGTCACAGTGCATTTAAAAAATACATAAATAAATAACCAGAGATAGATAAAGAAAGAGAATGTCCGCCCCGGCATTGCACCAGCATTGGTGGTTACCAGGCGGCGACGGTGATACCACCGAGAGAGAGAGAGAGAGAGAGAGAGAGAGAGAGTCGAGAGAGTTGAGAGTGCCAAGCCCGAGCTATCGGTAGCAACTGCTCGGACACGTTGGGTTAGTCCCTCGTTATCATCACGAGTCATCTGACCAACGTTCATCATCACTCCTCTCTTCTATGTAATTTATACCACACTACTAAGTAATAATAATTGAAATTAATAGAAATATATTTATATATAATGCGAGATATTAAACCAGACTATGTTGAATGTAATAAATATATAAATAAATAGTAGTTTTATGAAATGTAGAATTAACTTACAGGAGTGAAATGGCACGTGAATAACATCCGGCTGAAACCTTCAATATAGTTTAACGGAAATCTCATCAGTCCGTCAGTTGATAGATCCATGTGCTTCTGCTCGGCAATCAGTCTATATTATTTTGTCAAATAACTCCAGTAATTCGGTGGATATTCAGTATCACGTAAATTATTCTCTCAAAACTCGCTGGATCCTTGATAATCTTCAACACCATCACACTGTCGTCGGTATATTAAATTAGCAATATTATACCAAGCTTCAATAATTATCATTACATAGAATACATCTACTTATACTTAAATATATATATATATATATATATATATATATATATATATATACATATTACAAGTAATATTAATATTTTAATAATAATAACACATATAACAGCACTGTCGAAAAAAAGCACGCGTATTACATTCAGGCAAGTTTACATCTGACTCGGCCTCGGCAAGAGCATCTTTCTGGACTCAATCGAATACCACTTACTAGTCTAAAGAGCAATTTTTTTCTCCCCTCTCGAAATAACTTTTCCCTCCCCTGTCCATGTGTATATGTATTAAGTGTGTCTCAATGTTGTCTTCTTGGTGTTTCTCGTTGATCGTTGATTGCCGTGGCTGTTTAGTTGTTGTCTGACGTCTCCTTACTCTTTATTCTTCTTCATTATTATTATGTAGTTGTTGTCCTCTTGGCCATTATGATCGCAAAACAGACAAGAATTAACCTGAGCAAACTGAACCGGCAGGATTAGTGTGCAGTGTATGGAACTGTATATAAATATATAGTTATATGTAGTAAATATATAGGACATATAGTAAACACAGTCAGAGATCAGAGTCTGAGATGAACCTCGACTAAACTCACCTCTCATCCACGTTTTCAACTGTTTGGTTGCCTGTTGCGTTCACTACTTCCAATGAAACCACAATACGACCAACGACCAACCGTTGCCCGTTGCTGCTGGGCTCCTGCTGTCTGCTGTGTTTCTGTTCTGCTGCTACTGACCCCCTCCAGATTCACTTCCAATCGTGCTGTATATTTTTATTTAGCTTTAGCTTTGGCTGTAGTATTACCTCTTTGTCCGCACTATATCAACGAATCAGCACTGCCAGCTGACCTCTTCTCGCACTCACATCATAATATATCGGGACTTGTAGGCAAACTCTTATAGACCGGAGACCGGATGCAAATTCCAAAGATGAAATTTACTTTCTTTTTTTTTTTCTTATTTTTATTTATCTTATTAATCGAATTTTTATTTTTATTTTATGTTTTAATAATCACTATTTTTTTTTAATATTCATTAAGCTATGAATATAATTACAATAAACACTTGTTCATATTTATGATAAAATATATATCTTTAGTTAAAAATATATTTGCGAAAATTGATGACATTAAAGTTAGCTGTCACTTGGCCAAATTTTAATTTTATTTAACAATTAAATTAATTCAAAAAAATTATTTTTAAAAAATTGCATTGTTAATTTTTTTTTAATTTCTACCTGTCAATTTTTTTTTCTTATTTTTTTTTTTGCCACAATTTATTTGTTAAAAACAGTTCTAAAAATTATTAAATATCTGCTAAATTAATTTTCAATAATTGACAATATACAAATGATTTTTTTCAGAAATTATAATTAAACTGAATTGTTGAAAAAAGAAAAATATTTAACAAGTCTGAAGTCAGCTGACAGCTGTCATTTTTTTGAACTTTTAAATTTATCTGTTAAAAAAAAATTATGTCAGCTAACTTCAGTTTTTAGATATCTTCTATCTTGATTCAGCGAATTTTCAACGTAATTATGTCAGGTAAATGTATTCTTATATTATGAAACGTCTAGATTTCTGATATAAATATAATAATTAAAATTAATTACGGTATACAAATAGAAACACTCATGATGGTAATAACACTTTTTACTGTTATCCTAGGCTTATGATAATTTTCTTATCGTATATGTATTTACATCATAATTAAGCCAGCTAAAGAATACTAAATTCAATAACGGAAAATAAAGTGTATCCAGTAAAATGAAGAAATGCCCGTAAATACTGTAAACATTGAGACGGGTGAGTAGAAGTGTAAAAGTAGAAGGAAGAACAAAACAATTTGCGGTAACTTTAACCGAGCATTAAATTTATATATAAACTATTTGACATGGAAAGGAATCGTAAATCACGGATATCTTCGGAGATGCTTATGAAGGTTGAATTTGATATGATCAATATACCGCTAATGTATTGGTAAATAAACGTCGCTAAATATTTATCTTATTCTATATCTAAAAATAATGTATATAAATGCAAGCTAAATGAAAGATGAGAGAAAATAGTCGAGTAATGCTACTACAATGTACTTTTAATATGGTAAAGTTTAAGAGGTAAAAGGTTAACGAGTTTATGCAACTTAAACGTATTGTATGAACAAGTTTAATTTAAAGAGACGAATTAAGTACATGTATTATGTATATATATATATAATACGTGCAAGAATACAACGAGTAATAAAGCGACAATTAAGTGAGACGATGAAAGTGACGAGATAAAACCTAAGATAAGTTGACGAGGTGCCTGATTGTCGTGGACACACGTAATTCCAACGGTCTGCTGTACTTATATGTATATTTAGCTTCATGCAATCCAATGTAAGGCAAATCAACGTCTAGTTGTATTTAACTAGCCGTATCCCTTGTTCCTATATGCACATTTTTATTGTACCATTTATTATTGGGTCTTATGTATGTACTTTACTGCAAGTACATATTCCTATTAGTTGCAACTAAAACATGTTTTAATGTTTTTATATTGGAAATTAAACGGTGATAAAACGAGTAATTCATTACTATTGTTTTACACGTTGTTCGCGTAATTCTCACTTGATAAATGTTTTAGGTGAAAAAAAAAAAAAAAAAAAAAAAAAAAAAAAAAAAACGCATCATGTACGTCTACGTCTACATGCAGTTTAAGAGACATGGAGTGAGTCATATTGTGAGTTGCTGCAAAAATCAAGTTGCCATGCCTCATTCTCTGCTGTAGCTTTAATACCTATTTGTATGTGCATATTGTAGGTATATATTTATATATACAAAGGAAATATAGACGTAGAATGCGTTGATAATAATGTTTGTGTCAGGGTGATCATATGTGTATGCATTTACATTCGAGGGGACACGTTAAAAATTTATCCTTGAATTTCAACAGTTGATTTGTATGATGTTCACTGCGCAATAATTGATTAAATTCTTTTGACATTATTTGTGATAATTAATACCTGTAAAAAAATTAATAAATAAATTAGATAATTTTTTTTATGAATTTTCAAGTTTTTGCTATTAGATAAATAGTATATCTTTTTTTTTTTATATTGAAATTAGCAGACGTCTGACAATTTTCATAATTTTTATAACAAATAAATGATAAAAAAAAATTTGCACTTATCATTTTTTTAAATTTCTTAATGTAAAAATTTTTTTCATTATAATTTCATTGTAAAATATCTAAAAAATTATTAGATGTCTGTTAAATTTAGCAATAAATTAAGTATTGAGAAATTTTGACAAATATAATGACTAACGACATTTTAATAACTCACGACTGTTATATTAATTCTTTTTTTTCATTAATGTAATTTTAATTAAATTAAATTGTTGAAAAGTATAATTAAGAAACTGTCAGTGCCTAAGTACAGTAGATAAAAAGTTTAAATGTGAAAGTAATTTTATCTAGGTACTATACAGATAATTAATATATGATACTTATACTTATCCGAAGGGATTGACGTACGCAACTTGTTTTAAAAATTATTTTTTAATTGAATGTCTAATTAGCTCTCGGTAATGTTTCGAAATTTTAAATTTTACTTACACGGCGATAATTAAAGTTTTTTTTTCTTAATCAAGATCACTAAATATTTTTTATTAATTGGCATTCATTGCAGGTGTGACAATGACTGATGGGAATATTAAATCAAGCCTTTGAATTACGTATTTGATGGATGAAGATCAAATTTTAATAGATTAATTAAATAATAATACAATTACTCCTTTGTATTACTAATTTGTCCTTTTTGATAAAAGATACGCGCTAAGAATAATAAAGCGCTTATTAAAAAAATTTATTCAAAGGTTTTTTTTTTATTTATTATTTTACCAAAAACATTTTATTATTTTTTTAATAAAATTTTTTTTTAAGATTTAAATAATAATAAAATAAATAAATAAATCATTTTCATAAATTAAAGATGGCGGTAATTTTGCTAATGAGTTGGCAATAAAATTACCCATCAGCTGACACGTGGTACACATGCGACATCTAGGAATAAAATGGCGTCACTGGTGAAATATAACCAAAATGTCTTTCTGTATTTGTAAAGGATTCGGAGCTGTGATGAGAGAGGAGCAAAAATATTATAAAAATTGTATTTATCCTGGTATTTGATTCTTATATGTGTTGTTTATTTTTATTAAATTAATAAATAAATATATTATTTCGCATTAAATTTTAACTATTATCTGTAAATAGTTATTGTATAATAGAATTTTATTGCGTTATAAGGATAAAAATACTCTGAAGGTTAACAACACAGGCTTCCACACCCTCGTTTTATTTTAAACACCCCGTTTTTATTTATTAATTATTAATTGTTTAAGTTAATAATTATAATACTGTCATCTGAATAATATTTATTTATTTATTACTATTGTATTATAAAATTAATAACAATAAAAATAACACATCAATATGCCGACATCCAGACCTTTAAGCGTTGCCGTAATATGTTCTAGTAACATGAACCGAAGTATGGAGGCCCATGCTTTTTTAAGGTAACTATTTTATTTTTAATTTAATTTTTTCTGAATAAAACATTTAATAAATTCATTATTTATTACAGCAAAAAGGGCTTCAATGTAAAGTCCTTCGGAACTGGAGATAAAGTCAAATTACCTGGAAGTGGACCAGACAAACCTAATGTTTACGATTTCGGCACAACATACGACGAAATTTATAATGATTTATTGGTTAAAGATAAACAATTGTATGCTTCTTTTTTTTCTGATTTAAAAAATTTTTATTGCCACTAATTACATTTTTTTTTTTTTAATAAAAATTAAAACAGATATACTCAAATGGGCTTGCTGCACATGTTAGATCGGAACAGGAGAATAAAACCCAGACCAGAAAGATTCCAAGAGACTAAAGAAAAATTTGATATTCTTATAACATGTGAAGAGAGAGTTTATGATCAAGTTGTAGAATATTGGAGTAGTAGGACTTCCGTCAATCATCAACCGGCCCATTTAATTAATTTAGATATTCAAGATAACCACGAAGAGGCTACTGTCGGATCATTTTTGATCTGTGAATTAGTTACCACGGTATTGTACAGTACTACTTAACAAATACATAAAAGCTACTTGATGAATATCTTTAATGTATTTTAAAAATTAAAACAATTGGTTTTATAATTTAAAATAATTATTTGTTTCAGCTTGCCGGCAGTGATGATCTAGATAACGACATTGATGGTTTGCTGAACGAGTTTGAAGACAACAAAATTTCAAAGCCTTTGCTACACACTGTTGTGTTTTACTGAACTCTAACCATGATTGTAAAAATTTATCTCAAGCTGGACGGAGATTTACCTCAGTAACCTAATGGTTATAATTGGCTACGTTGATTGGAGATAAACCAGAAAATTTGGATATGTAAATAGAATCAACCAATGGAAGATTGGTTTCACCGCTAAATGTAAACAACAATTATTGTGTATAAATTGACTAATAATTTCAAGTATTATGTGTATATATTGATGACCAATTGCTCATCATAATTCAGAATTTACTTTGCCTTGAAGACATCTACACCGACTTGATAATGATCAACGTTTTGTAACAGCAACTTTGAATTAAGCTAAAAATAATTTGAGACTGGAAATTTGTTCTGATTTATTTAAAGGACATTATCATCGTGACATCAATTGAAGATAATGACAAATAAAATAAGAGATGAAATATTTAAATATTAAATAAAGATTTTAAGGTTGAGGAATGTATACCATAATTTATGGTATAAATAGCGAGGGAATGCAACAAATAGTTACAATAATTTTAACAAACTAAATCTAAATAGATATAAATAAAACATATACATCAAATAAATTTTAATTATTTTTTTATTTATACAAATACATATTTTTATTTATTTCAGGTTAATGTAAATCTAAATGTTTGTAAAGACGTCGTCCTTTTTCTTTCTTATTTTTATTAGCGTGTTTATTTATTTTTTTCCAGGGTTTACCGCCAGGATCTCCCGAGTTAGCAGAACTCAATTTACCAGGAAGTCCTTTGACATGAACACCGGCCTCTCGGTCCCTAAAAAAAGCCCGATCAACGTCTTCATTGTTGATAGTAACTCCCCTGCTAGCTCGCATAGCGTCAGGAGGAACAACGTGGTTTTCTGAGTAAACTCTGCGACGAGGTGGGAATGTATGATACTCTTCTTGAATTTTATTCGGCGGAGCAACGCAATGCAGAAGCTTGCCATTGACAAAATCTTTTAACAAGACCCGAGCTGAGCGGGGATTGTCAGGCTGACCATTTGCGGTCATGAATCCCCTGTTGAACCCATAGGTATTGAGAATTTCTTCAGAAGTCGGTGGTCTGTGAGGATCCTCACCGTCTCTTGGCGGTGGTAGCATTATACCATAAGTATCTTCAAGAACATGTCGTGGGATCCAAGTTCCCAGCAATGTAATTGATGGAACGTGGTCTCTCAAGTGGTCTATTGGTAAAATTCCATGCAGAACCATTTCAGCTTTAGTACAAATAAAACTGGGCATCACCAAGCCAGGACAATCGCACAGCATCAACTCATTGTCGACGAAGAGCGTTTGAAAGTGCTTGGTTTTTCCTGGCGTAGCTGATACCGATACTTTTTTACCCATCAAAATGGCGTTGATGGTTGAACTCTTTCCAACATTTGGGTATCCAACCAGACCGATTGTTACAACGTTAGGCGTGTAAGTTATCTCTCCTTTCAATGATTTAAAGAGTTCAATCAATCTTTCTCTGGTTAAAAGCTCCGGGGAATTAATCTCGAGTGTCTTGGTGCTTTCTACTTCGTCTGTGCTTTTCAATTCTTCTTCAGGTTGGCTATCAGGAATTTTATCCAGCTGTATTGCGTCGGTATCATCAGCACTCTGATACTCGCTGTCGGATCCAAAATCTGTGACATAAGAAGAAATATCGCTTTCTCCGTCGTTGGTTTTATTGGAGACATCATCTTCATTTTCTTCATCAGTTTCGTCCTCCTCTTCCTCCTCGACCTCGTCTTCTTTTTCTTCCTCTTCTTCTTCTTCGTCAATTTCGGCAGATTTTCTATTTCTGTAATTCAACTCAGCGGCATCCAAGGCTGAAAAGAAAGCGACTTTTATTCCAACCTCGGTAAAATAATCGCACCAAGCCTGTCGCTGTTCCAGGGTCAGAAAATCGGCCTTATTAACAAGAATCATATTCATCTTAGTGGCGTCAACCTCGTGAACATAATTCTCAAGATCTTCGCAGCGGAACAGCAAAGGATTGCGCGCATCAACAATCTGCACTACGACGTCACTACGTTCGACGACTCTCCATAATTGTCTCCAGAATTCTAGATTTTTTTCGTAAGGAGTTATTGTCATCTCTCCGGTATCTTGGAGCAAAGACAGCTGTCTTCGCCATTCTAAAAATTCATTTTTCTCTCTGGTGTGGAGCTCTTGAGCACTGGTGTGCTCGTCCCATTTAGGCCTTCTGGGTATTTTTAATAACTTAGCATTTGTTTTGAACAGAGCCAGTAAATCAGCTCGTTCTTTTTCTGAAGGTAAACCCATTCCACTCTGAGGATTGACATATTTAATATCAAGTTTTTCGGCTTGAAATTCAGTTCCAGCTAACTCTGCAGTTCTTAAAAATTCTTCAAATGTATTCTCTTGCGTGATTGATCGTAAGTTTAAACGATCCCATTTGTAACCATCCTCAACGTCAGCAGTATGAAGCTAAAAATTAATTTGATAATTTTAAGAATCTTTTTTTAACAAATAAATTATGGCAAAAAAATGTGGATTTACATTAGTATAGATAAATAATATAAACATAACCTTACCAATGATCTCTCACCACGTTTTTTCTTAGGTCCAAAACGATTTCTCACCAAAGCTTTACCTAAGCTACTTCCTTTGTTTTTTTTACTCATTTTAATAATTAATTAATTTATTTATTTAATTTACTCAACAATCATTAAGTTATATTTAAATATAAAACAATTGATAACAGTAGATTTAATACATACAACTTTTTTTTGTTTAGATGTTTACACACACAAGGTATTTAACTTTCTCTCATTCACGATAGTGGCGCTGACCAGCGGTAAAAATTTAAAAATTTAATACTGAAGTCAGCTGACACCTGTCATTTTTTTAAATTTTTATTAAAAATCAATTGCAATAAAAAAGTGTTTTAAAAAATTTCTAATAATTTTTTTTTCAATTTCACTCGTGAAATTTTTTTATTAAATTTTTTTCACAATAATTTAATTAATATAAATTAAAAAAAAAAAAAAAATTTCATTTGTAAAAAACTTTAAAAACTGTAAGTGCAATTTTTTAAAAATATTTTTTTGTTCTAATTCAATTATAATTATTAAAAACGTCAGCTAACTTTAGTATCATAAAAATAATTAAAATTTTACGGAAATGTCAATGGAATAACAATAATAATAAGTAAGTAAAAAGACAATAATTAGCTAATAATTTGTTGTATTGCTGATATTGAACGCGAACATATACATTTATATTAAATATATGTATAGATTCGGTGTTTGTTGTACATACATACAGATTATCATTCATACAAAAAATCAAGACCTTCTTATAAGGTTTACGACCTTACAAAGCGTCAATTGAACCTTCTTGCATTTGTTTCTCTCATTATTTTAATTATAATAATAATAATAATAATCAATAATTATCTTACATATTAAATTCAACAATTGCATCGAATTTTTAAAAAGCCATCTGACAAATGGTGCGATAACAAGAGATTACTATTACATGTACATTGTATCGACAACTATATTGTACATTATTATTTATATTTATTTATTTTTAAATAAAAGTATATGGCATAAGATTTATTTTATTTTCTTTTGCTATTTATAAATTAATGAATAATAATTGATAACGAGGGAACATTTTAAATTGGTGACGCGTCGGCTAGCTTTAGCATTAGATTATACACTTTATCGCAATTGCGCCAAAGCAATACTTAACTAATTTAACATTAATTTATGAACACAAAAATTTAATAATAGCAATAGTAATAAAAATATATAAAATAATAATTCAAAAAATGTAAAACAATAAAATAACTAATGGTAAAAATTCGTAATTAACATTAATTTACATTGTATTTGGCATAAAAGTGTAGAGTGCATAATAATTTAGCAACGATATTGACGATGACTGGTGGGTCAATGAAGATCGTCGACCCAAGCTGTTTCCAGTGATTCAATAAGTATGCGTACAAAAGCCATTTCTTTTCGTGCATTTTCCAATATCACTCTTGGATCTTGGGAGGTACAGCGTAGAATATTTGGAGCCATTACCATAGCGAGATTATTAGCGTCCATTTTTGTACGGGCAACCACATCTGGTCTCGTAAAAATCTGTGTAATTAAATCATATTAATTATTATTAAAAAAAGAAAAATATCAAAAAAATTTTATGACAATTTTTTTATTTTTCTTGAAAAATAATTCTAGAAAACTTCAGGCATCTAATTAAATACATAAAAAAAAAATTAGTAATATTGTATAAAAATTAAACAAAAAATTTTGTTATTAATGTATGTATTTAATTAGATGCCTGAAGAAGCCATGATCCATGGCGAAACGTCGCTGAATTGAAATAAAGTTTAAATAAAATTAAAAAAAAAAAAAAAAAAAAAAAAAAAAAAAAAAACTCACCTGAAGAAAACGAATCAGATGACTAAGTACTCGACGATTAAGATCTGGAAGTCGATCAACGATAGCCGCGGCATTTAAAGCAGCAGCCTCTGACTCGTCGTGCCGCATAGATACACACTCGATATAAAACGAGTCAGGTATCAAGGGTTCGTATAATTCCCGAACCCACAACTTCAACAACGAAGCAGGTGCATGAGCGTCCTGGGAGGGTGCTAAATTAGCGCCGTCCTCAAATCTATCCAAGCAAGATTTAAGCGCGCTGACCTCATCCGCGTCCGCGGACACCCGGAATATTCCTTCAGTTAATGTTCCACCACGCATGAGTACTTGGCGAGTCAACGTTGTCTGAACCCAGGGCAAATCTCGTTGTGGAAAACGATCACGTTGCAAAGCCATTACTTCAGACAGCGTAGCGCCAAACATTGACGCGCGGAATATTTGAAGCTGAATTAATTAAAAAAATTATTTATTATACTGATTGTAATTATAATAAAGAAGAAATGAAAGTTAAAAAAACTTACCCGTGCTTGATCAATGTCTTCAATAGTAGCCTTACGTGGTTGACGTTTACCGTGTGCCCCAATTCGCTGCAACCGTCGACAAGCAACAGTGGCGTAATGACTCACTTGAACGTGAATCGGCCACTTGGCTACTTCGGGAAATTGGAAATTAGGGTCACGATGCCTGTTCATATAGCCTTCAAGATACGGCTCAAAAGTAGCACTTGGTGGTACGAACGCTAGACACACTGCCATGAGCTCCCAACCTCGTCTTAGACTTTCTTTTCTAGGATTTTCGGTAGTTTGCCGACAAATTTGCACATAAAGCTCATCACGAAGCGGCGGCTTTGAAAATACGGTGTTTATTAATTCAGTAGCTACACCGTCTAAGGTCATGCCTACGTTGGCTTTTCTGTCGCCCATATAAACCTGGACAAGCCGAAATAGATTGCAGGCCTCGCGTTTTAATAGTTTTTCACCCTCGACAACGTTAAGCATCGGTCGGGGAATAGGATCTTTAGACCAGCTTAAAATATCACGTACACTGAATTTTTTACGAAACAAAAGCCGGAGGCCTTTTGGCCTGCCACAATTTAAATTTAAATTATCTTGGGCGTATTTCTCAATGTCCCCTCCACCCGTAGAATCATCGCGACGTCCATCCTCGGCGCCGTCTGCAATATCATAACTCTTAACTAGGCTCGTAAAAGCTGTTGATGCTGGAAGAGAAATAGGTCTTGGACTAGCACCAACCCCACCGCCCATGCTTCCACTGTCTCTAACTTCGGTGTGCAGGGATATTGTTGTCGAGCCGGTCTGCCCGGGCGGAGCTGAAGGTACCAGAGGTGCTGTTGATGGTAAGGTTGCTTGCGTAGAGCTCGCGTGAGAGCGCGTTAGCGTTTCCGTAGTGTTATAATATGTTGCCAGGCCAGCTGTATCATAATTTCCGAGATCTATTTTCAAGAAACAACAGTAGTTAATATTATGATAATAAATTATATTAAAAGAGACGTACCCGCATAGTGATCTTCTAAATACTCTTGACTGGAAGAATCACCCTGATTGCTTGCAGCTTCATCATCGGCAAACTGATCTTCATCGTCTGAGTCATCGTCACCTCTCCCACTACCAATGCCAACTCCATTACCACCTTCGTTATCTCTACCGCCACCGTCTTCATCCAAAGAATCATCATCCCCTTCTCCATCGACCAGCAAAGGATCTCCATATTTATAACAACCTTTAAAAAAAAAAAAATTTATAATTAAATAATGACTTTTGTTAAATTGCACTGTACTTTTTTAATTATTGACGTTTTTAAAGATATAAGGTCATCCCGATGTTACACTCATCAAGAGCTTTTATTTGAGTACCCACATGCATTTTCATATATTTTTCATATATACATATATATCTAATATATATATATATAAATATATGAAAAATTGATGTGGGTACTCAAATGAAAGGTCTTGATGAGTGTAACATAGGGATGAGTTTATATCTTAAAAAATGTCAATATTTCACAAGATAAAAGGTCATTTCTTAATTATGTATTTAGTGATATATAAAAACCCATTTTATCATATAAATGCACTGGTCATAAAACTTTGCTTATCCTCTTAATATAGATTAAAAAATGAAGAAAACAATTTATAATTAAATAATTAAAATTAAAAAAAAAAAAAAATAATTATTATTATTAATATAAAAATTTACCAGAGAGTTTAGCTTGTTGAAGAATATAATGTTGAAGCGGCAACAAATGATCGGCATCGACTAATAAATTACCGTAATAAGGCGTCGATGCCGGTGGACTAGGATTGCCATTGCTTCGTTTTTTCTTAGCGTCCTCCTCCTCATCAACTACCTGTCCACCTCCACCGAGTTCATCACCAATTGCACTGTTACTACTGCTATTACTATCGTCATTACTGCTACTGGTATTGCTGCTGCCAAGTCGATGTCTAGCATGATCATGAAGGCTCTGACTGACCAAGTACCGCTCGTGCATTGAATCATCATCGCGATCTCGCCTTCTCATCATTTGCTGTTGGAGTTTTTGCTGCTGAACAAAACTGTAACTACGAGCTAACGCCTGTTGTGTGTTATTATCCATCAAATTATTGCACTTGGTCCGCCCGCCGTAATCATCTCTGTCTTTTTTATCCCGTTCACCAGCCCGGTCTTTTTCTTTAACATGTCGCTCAGAGACATCAAAACTCGGCTGTTTGGAAACGGGATTAACATGAGACGCAGCATTGCTTCTCAAAGCAGAATTTTTGCCGTCATTACGACTCTCAGCAGCTAGCATGGCACCATAAATTTCTCGAACATTCGCCTCGGAAAGCGAAGCAGCACAGCCATGGTGTCTTCGACCAATACTCCCGACGTTTCCACCAGCAGACGCAATTACCTCAGCTTTGTTAAGATTTCGGGAGTGAATGGCACCAGCGCCCGGATAAAATCCTCCTGAAGACGGAGTGTTGCTTTTTTCAAGACTGTTAACTCTGTCACGGTGATAAGACTCGCGATCTCTGTCTCTGTCTCTATCTCGGTGGTACCGATTTGTTGACTCGACGAGAGATCCGAATTTGTCAGCTTGATGGGGCTTGCAAGAGAGTGGAGAGGACTGAATATCAGGCGGACGATAAGGAGGCATCTCTTGACGCAAGAAGGCTTTTGAGTCGATACCACCAATTGACTCTCGGTACGGTGAAGTACTTGGTTCTGGTCCATACGAGCCACGGCTACTCTCTCGACCTATTTATTCATCAATTTATTATTATATCATATTCACAATCCATGAAATTGTAATTTTATCAATGTACAGATCAAAATACAAGATACAAAATATAACTACTCACCTCCTCCATTTCTACTTCTGTCAGACTCAGTACTCGTAACGCTTCTTCCGTCTCTCTGACTCGACGACGACTGCTGATGCTCTACAAATATTTTTTTTTTAAAAAGTGGCGTACTGGTTGAGAGTGAAAGACCAAGAGGCGGCGGTGGTGGTTCCCCAGGCATTGCTACACCTTTTTGGTTTTTCACATTCTCAAGAGTACCACTTTTCTGTGATCTCAGTGGTTCTAGGGTACTACCACTACCGGTCGAAGTATTGTGAGTACGACTTGAGCTCGTTGGTAACTGGAGTATGTTCGATCGTTGATGATGCCGATGAGGTGATTCTAAATGACGGAAAGCAGATGCGCCTGATGATTCCAGGGACGTGCGACTGTGAGAGATTGAACTGTCGCTGGAGCGACCCGAGTCTTGAGAATGATTGTGATGCCGTCGGGTTTGTGAAGACGGCTGTTCATGATGTCGATTATTGTGTCTGTTGTTGTGCTGCTGTAACTTTTGCTGCTGTTGTTGCTGCTGCTGCTGCTGCTGCTGCTGCTGCTGCTGTTGCTGTTGCTGTTGATGATGGTGGTGATGATGGTGATGGTGGTGATGATGATGCGGTCGTCTGGCCGAAGGAGATGGCGACGGAGGCGATAATTGAGAATCCATACTAATACCGGAGCTACGAACTTTGCATACACCACTGCTGGATTTCTGTAAGAGAGTTTGGTTTAAAAATATTTAATGTAAATGTATAAAGAATAAATTATTTACCATCGAGGAAGATAAACTTGGATTTTCTTGGTGATGATCGTAACGTGATGAACGTCCAACTGCTGTTGTTTGAGTTTGCGTAGCCACAGACTCTTTTCTTCTCGACTCATTTGCCTGACCATCTGTGGCGTTCCCATTATTACCTGAGCCACCGCTGATCGCCGGTTCTGTATTTTGTTTCAGCGTCTGGAAACGATCACATAACAGATTATAACTTTTATATACAACGTAAATTTCATTTTATAATATACATTGTATATATATATATATATACTGCAAAATACATAAAACTATCAGTATTCTAAAATCAGGAGATATTTTATAAAATAAAAAGCTAGCGCTAGGTGACGTCAACACATTTAATCTCATACTCTTCTTAAGATATTTCTTCGTTACGATCACTTGCATTCTCCTGAGTTTTAAACGTACATACTTTTGAATAACTCAGTAAAAAAAAAAAAAAAAAATATAATGTTTCTATTTTAAGATATGGAAACAGACCATCTATACTGACGCGTTATGTTTTCCTCAAACGCTCTGTGATAAGACATAAAGCATCTAACTAAAATAGCTTAAATACAACAGTTAAGAGTAAATAAAAAAAATTGTAAGATATAATGATATATATGTTGATTTGTTGAAACATCAAACGCTTACTGTACCTGTAACTTTGCCAATGGAATAATGTCACAGTCAGTGGGCCGGTGCCAGACGGTTTTTTGCGATGTTGCATTGTAATAATAAAATCTTGATGTTTGTTGATCGAATAATTCCCACCACTGGTTATTATCAGTCTTCTTTCTGCAATTTAAACCCGTTTAAATAATAATTAATATTAGAAACACGTAGATACATAAATAAATAATAAAATAAATAAAAAATAGCTTCAACAGTTATTTAAAAGTAATCTTACGTACACAGGAACTCCCGGCGGTGGATCCCATACACATTCACCGGTCGTTAAATTAGCATACATGTGCTCTTTGGTTCTCGGCTCGATAATTTCTACCCACTCCATTCTGAAAACACAAATATTGGAAAACATTAGTTAGCAAACAATGGTTGTGGTATTGGAAGAACGTTATATATAAATTTTCTTCCTTTTTTTTATTGCCTATTATAATTATAATTATATTATATCGACCTTTTTATAATTATAAGATTCTCAACTCAAGTATCCTTCGTATAGAATAGGATGTATGTGTGTATAATAACAACTCGAGAGATTCTAGATTCTAGAGTATAATAAATGTGTAATTGGCCTGAAAATCTCGCGAGTTAAGTCACATTGAGACCCATGTGGCGTGCAGTAACCCATCGACTGAAAACCAGAGCAAAAGCTGATGTCATACCCGCCTTTTTAATTGGCTAAACGAACCTAGTGCTCGGTACACTTACATTGCGTCTGGATGAAAGAGCGCAACCGAAACCGCTTAAAAAATAAAGGATAATAAAGTAACATCACAACATCAATGATAAACAAAGAAGGGAAACGCAGAACGAGGGGACAGGAGAGAAGAGATTGAGAAAGGAGCGTCCAGCATTGCATGCACCACATTTAGCATTACATTTAGATTTAATTAATCTCACATCTTACTTAGATAGGAAGTGTATTCTTAGTTTAATACACAAGCATTCAGTCTATCTGTGTAATGTAATTTAATTTAATGCATGTAATATAATATATAAATATAAATATATATTATGTATAATAACATCCAGCAAGTGAGAGTTTTTTTACATAATTCAGATGTTATATGTGCAAGCGATAAAGATTGCATCACTGCTCCGGATTTTCAAGTTCATCATGCCCTCCAATGAGACCCACCCTAGATCTGTGTACTCGCGTGCGCAACTTTTGTTTCTTCCTTTATTGTCCCAACACCTACCTATCCATTGTACCTTTTTTTTAACTTTTAGATCCAATTGTTTATTCAATTCATTCATTGTTTTACTTCTATTACTTCCTCAGTCACTCTACGACAGGCAAATTATAATTATCGGAAGCAAGGATTTATTGATTTACGAGTTGAGAGCCAGCAGAGTGCTTTAATAATATCATATCTATACATGCAGTCTCGGTACCGGGTGCATTTTATTTTTTTTATTTTTTTTTTAATAGACTGCGTACCCCGTGTCCTTATGTGTCATCCCTTGATTTATATATACACATACGACACATGTGTGCTAGGTCCTAGAATACATTAGTGTCAAAAATAATGAATGCATGGGTTTTTTTTTTTTTTTTTTTTTTTTTATGGATCATAGAATAGAAAATAAAATAAAAAATGTAAACGTACCTATCAGCAGACGCCATCGCCATTTGAATTATTTAAACAATAATTAGTTTGAGAAAAATTTCTTGAATCTCTTGAACACTGACGTTATAAAAAACTATATTTATCATTTATAAATAATATTAGATATTTATATTTATATGGATGGGTGTGTGTGTGATATAAAATATTTAAAATACTGAGATGACTTGTCACCGTCGACTTTCACCACCAATTGTACATTGAAGATAAAATCACAAAATTTGTACAGATTATTGTTTTTATAAACCACCTTCATATTATCATTTGTAAAGATTGTGTCCGTGTAATTTACCTAAACAACAATATAATTTATTATTAATAATATAATATTGTAAAAATGTATTGTAAATCCCGTGGAATATAAGTTTAATAGAATGATTGGCGGCCATCTTTATTAAAAAAACCCCAATTACACCACTAAACACCACAATAACAATAAACTTAATATATATTACTCACTGAGTCACAAACTATTTGTTATCCAGGGCAAGTAAACTGTCAGAAAAATATATATATCCTTTCGTTTCATTTAATTGTTAATAATAATAGCGGTATTGCAGGGAGCGATGCTTGTGACAGTGCTGGTGCTGCCTGCCCGCTGCAGCTTGTGATGAATGATAAACGTAAACGGGAGAAAAACGCTGAGAAGACAAGAGACAACATCGGACGGCGGCGCAGCTCATGGAGATACTGGACTGACTGCAAGCTTTACTGCTCTAACTGGTGTTCTATTCTGCTGGAGATGCACCAGAATCAAAGCGCATAACTAAACACTCTGATAAATTGTACTCAAGATATCAACAGTCATATCACTGGACAGCTACGAGCTGAGCTTACTGAGCAAACGTCATTAATTATTATTATTATTATTATTTTTACATATATCAAATAGATATTAGTATAGATATAATAAGTCAACAAAATGTAATGTGTACGCGTTTAGATCGCGATTCACGTTCACGACTGCTCAATGCCGCTCCTCGTTCTTGTATCCTTGTTCATACAACATGTATATATATATATATATATCAAATGTACCTATGTACATATATAACGGTGGGCTGTTACACTAACACTCGGAGAGAATTTTGCTGACTATTACCACTATCGCAATCGCTTGTACTTGCGTTAGTTATTTCAAGCTACAGTTAAATCTATTCATTTATTCTAGCAAGGTATTTGTAATTTCTACAGCATATTCCTATACTATATATTTTATTTAATATTTAATATAACAATCAAATAACAATTAGACACTCATACATCTTTAAATTTTATCTGGAGGAATTAAACAAAGATTTATAGGCTGTAAATTTTAATTTAAAATCTAACGTTGACTTTTATTGATGTTTGTAAAACTTATTTTATAAATGTTTATTAATTATTCTATTTTTTATTTAGGTTAGAAAATATCAAGATTTATTTATTTTTTGGAGTTGAATCTGGTGAAAGAAATTTATTTAATCGACGACAGATCAATTTTTTTGGAGTGAAGAATTAAAAAAAAAAAAAAAAAAAAACAATCAACAAACAAAGACCAGATACTCGGAAGATAATGATGAAACATTTTATTTTTTCTAACTACGTCATTATTTTATTATTCTGGAGTTGATACGCAGACTAGGTTATTCCATGAGCCAGCTGACTGACAGTTGATGTGAATTAGATAAATTAAATGGTGTATTTTGGAGCTTGTTACTAGGTTTAATAATTTTTATCAATGACAATGGATCAAGAAGTTTTGACAACTCTGAAACTACTTATGATAGGTGAATCAAATGTCGGAAAGTCAAGGTAACTTGGAATTTTATTTTATGGCTTGTATGTATATAGTCTAATAAGTTTCTGATAAAGTTTTATTGTTACACTAATGGAAAAGTTTCAAAGTCTATTGTTCAAGCTTTTACTTGCGATAATGTATTTTTTATCACTAATTGATAATTTATTTGCAGCATTTTATTAAGGTTCACCGAAGACGAGTTTAATGAGAATATACAGAACACTGTGGGTATGGATTATAAAACAAAGCAAGTAAATATTGATGGCAACGTTGTAAAACTTGCAATCTGGGTAATTTTTATAAATAAATTGTTTTTTTTTTTTATAGATCCAGTAATTAATACTAAAGTTAGCGGACGTTTTTAATTTTTTGATTATTTTTCATTTATTAAATTAGAACTGAAAAATATTTTTAAAAAATTGCACTGATAGTTTTTCAAGTTTTTTACCAGTGAAAATTTTTTTTTATTTTTTTATAATGATTTTTTCAATAAAAAAAATTTTTAAATGTCGGCTAACTTTTAAATACGTCTCTAGTACAGTTATAAAAGCTTTTTAAATAATTAAAAAAATTATCAACAGGATACTGCGGGTCAAGAAAGATTCCGCACCTTGACACCTAGTTACTATCGTGATGGCCAAGGTGCTATCTTAATGTATGACGTCACCGATCGTAATACGTTTGTAAAATTAGAAACGTGGTTAGACGAATTAAATACCTACTGTAATAAATCGGAGATAGTTAAAATGGTTGTTGGAAACAAGATAGACCTGCCAGATCGGCAAGTTACTACGGAAGAAGGTCTGAATTTCGCACGAAGACATCAGACACTTTACATCGAAAGCAGCGCTAAAACTGCTGACGGTGTCAAATGTTGTTTTGAAGAATTGGTTCAAAAGGTTTGTCGATTAAAGTGCTGAGTCTTTAACAATTAAAGATCAAAGTACTCCATTAAATTATACATAAATATAAAATATTATTACAGATTTTGCAAACACCTGGTCTCTGGGAGCACAATAATTCATCCAGGATTCAGAATATTGCTGGAGGTGGTCCTCGTCAACGACTAGGAAAGCGTGGAATGCTATTGACTGATGATCCTCAGCCCCAAGACGCTTATAATAATTGTTATTGCTAGTTTTGTTTACGCGTACAACATTTATACACAATTTGAGTGGATATTTTATTAATATTTATTATTTGTAAATAAAAAAAAAAAAAAAAAAAAAAAAAAAAAAAGTTTCACACCTTTTGCATTATTAATTGCCAGGCAAATAATATTGATATAAAATATAGGTAATTAATTATTATAATAAAAAATATAAAATAAAAAATTCAAATTTTCAGTTATTTTTATTTAATTATTAATATAATAACTTTTCGCCGGTTTGTATTTCACATATGAAAATGTGTTCAAGTACATAGTAATTGTGCGTTTAATTTATGAGAATATTCTTATTATAATCTAACGTGTTACAGTTTATACCGCTATAATATTTATTTTTAAATACATATTAATATAATATAATAATAACGTTCATTAATTATTATACAAAAAAAAAAGTAAATTTTTTACGTTAATATAAATATCTGGCAGTTTCATTGTCTGAGTTTCATAAATAGTGAAATGGGGTTTATATTTTTTATCAATTTCGTTTTTTATTTTTATCATCTTTAAATCTATACATACTGCGAAATACAATCAATACCTAAAAAAATAGGCATTTTATTACAATAAATAGGGAGACGCTCGTCTTGGTTAGCGACGAGCAATGGAAGAATCTTTGTTTTACTTACGTATAAAAGTAAATACGTTTACGCGGTAAAGATTAATCATCAAATAATTTACTAGTATAAACGCCAACGACTCAGGTACCTGCGCATTGTGTAGGACGATGCCGAGAGCGTTTTTATACAATAATAATAATAATAATAATAATAATAGTAGTAAGAATGAGAAATAATAATTATAATGATAGGAATAATAATAAAATAAAAAGCCAATATGAGTAACAGCCCAATGACAATACTTAAAATTAAAAATGGTTAAATGGAACTAAAATTACAGCAGTCAAAATGATGCTCAGTCAGGCAAAATACATGATTATAAAACTGTAATATATTATTAAATGTATATGACTTGATTTTCTCAGTATCTATCCAATTGAAAATACTATTCTGAAAGTGCTTAACTGATAATAGTAATCGATGTAATGCTTGACCCCATTTGAATACTATATTTCGCTAATTATTTTGTTATTTATTTGCTATAAAAATGTAAAATTAATAGATATATTGATTTTGTTCACTCTTAATTTATTTATAATTTTTTATAATTTAATTTTTAAGACTACAGAGTGTATGTGTTAAGATGTCATGGGTCATTTGGCGTCAACAGCACATTGTAGACAATTTGATCAATTCCATGTTAATTGTTTTAATTACTTTTTTTTTTTTTTTTTAATGTCTGTGCTTGAGATCCGACGCTATATAAAGGCAATTTTATAAGCGTAACGACCGTATGTGTATATTTAATGCCAGAAAATAAAAAATAATTATAAAAAGATAAAAGAATTTAAAAAATGTGAGAGTTTCTGAGACAATAATCACCTTAAACCGAGTAAACCGCGAGTTCTGCTAGTTTAGCTTTTTCTTCTTCAGACTCGTCTCTAGAAATCATCATCGTGTGAGAAAGTCCGCAAGTAATAGCAGTTATGTAGAGGCCTTCCAGCGCCTTGACCTCCATTGGCGTCGTCGAGGATTTTCGCATCTCTCCGAAGCCCTAGACAAATTATAACAGTAATTATTAATCAATAGAAAATAAATAAAAAAAAAAACAAGATGACTTACGAGTTCACCATAAGTAGGACTAGCGCCCCAGGCGATGACCGACTCATCAGCAGCGACGACAACGCTGGTTTGCGAGACACCTACGCATCGGATCTCCCAGCCGGACAGATCAGGAATAGGCTTTGGATACATGTTGGCTTCTCCAGTTCGTTTAGTCTGACCGAACATCAGAGCGGAGCCATGAACATTGATAGCAATACTGTAAGTACTACCGCAATGGACGGACCTGACACCACGGCTGGGAGGCTCTAGGAATTTTATCAGACGTGGTACCAACTCGTCACGCTGCTCATTGTGTCCCAAACGTCCGACTCCACCGAATCCCCAAGAGAACGCCCGGCTCTTGCTGTCAATAGCGACAGTGTGATGGTAACCGCAGCTAAAGTCTGAAATTTCAACTCGGTCTAGTGGTATCACATGACCGTCTTTGCTCTTCTCCACGTAAAGAACGATCCTCTTAGGTACCTTTTCAAAATGGAAAGCCATTTTTGAGTTTGTTATAAAGTACTTTCCGTCGGTATTGTGGCCAAGTGCTCCATACTCGGGGCTTCCAAACGAGTGAAGGCCACCCTTGATGTCCAAAATCATCGAAAATTCTGCTCCGCAACCGACTTTGACAATAGGCGCTCCGGTGTATTTAACCTTTGTAGCAGTAAGTATAGTAGCGTCGGACTTTCCAACTCCACATTGACCCAGTTTATTGTCACCAGCTCCGAAAACTATACCACGACTAGTTAAAAACAAAGTGTGATTGCGTCCACACGCTGCTGCGATTACCGTGTGTCCTTTTAGGGCCTCTACTTCTGTTGGATCATCGCGTCTCTTCACGTCTCCAAGTCCCAATTGTCCTGTTGGTAGAAAAATAATCATATTATTAAAAGAAAAAAAATTACAAATGCATATTTAATAAAAATAATAAACGTACCTTTGTCATTTTTTCCAAACACCAAACATCTATTGTCTTCAGTGACAATTACGTTGTGTGCTGACGAAGGTCCTGAAGCAATCAGTCTCACTCGAGCACCGTTGAGATTCTTAAACGTATGCGGCGACCAAAGGCTCCTTCCGACGTTAGCTTTCACACCTTTTGGCGGTGCTTTACGACCAGCCATTTCCCAATTAGTCAAACCACACATCACCAGAGTACCAGGTTTGCCCCATCCTCCCTACAGAAAATAAATAAATAAATAAAATAATAATAATAATAATATTTATTACCAGTAAAAAACAGATACATAAAATACATAGCACAAAAAGTGAGTACGCATAAACGGTTGTATATTATATATTAATTTGTATTATCCATTTTGTTAATTTATTTCTAATTGACTTTTTGCTGCAATCTAGTTTTTTAAGGTCATATAGTAGTTTGTTGTAATACTTGATAGCAATATAATTAGAGCTTTTACTTGATATAGTTTTGTTTTGTTTTGTTTTGTTTTGTTTTGTTAAAGCAGAGAGATCAGTCTATTTCTAAATATTTAAAATATAATATAAAATAATTAAGGTTTTTAGTGGCCAATTATTTACCTCAGGAGCTCTCAGTTCCGGGATACTGGTAACATCAGTGAGATCTTCCTCAGCGGCGGCGTCTTCAGCCCCGTCAGCATTAGAGCCGGCATCAGCATCCTCAAGATCAGAAGGACTGGAAATTTCATCCTCCTCGTCGTATTCAACTTTCTTAGCCTTACTTTTGGGCTTTTTACTGGTTGGAGTATTTTTTCTTTTGGTCGACATGATTGACGGCTGGTTGATTTAAATATATAGTTATGGTTATATATATATATATGTACAAATTGTATAAAGAGTATCAGTATGTTTGTCAATAAATAGTTATCAAGGATCAATTGCACTGACGAGGTACCACACTGATCATCAATAATTATTGATAAATACTAATATTAATAATAAATTAGAGTGTATACTTAAAAAAAGGTGATGGTGAATGTTAATTTGAGGATGTATAATGACAACGATGCGGTAGTTTTCGCGTCGTCGTTAATCGCTTGGCTTTGGAACGCTGCTCCTGCCTGCTGGAGAAACGGTACCACTACCACTCCTCTACAATATAGAATACAATGCAATACAAATACAAATGGAAATGCACATCTATATAAATACTCATATATACAAGTAATATTACAGGATACACACCTTATTGTTTTTTCCCAGGTTAAATATTTGTTAGTGTTGTGTTTTGTGTATAGTCGTATTTAGCTGTGTAGTAGTAGTGGGTTATGCCGTTGGGACGCTAGTTGATGCGATGATGCTACATGTTTTAAGGGGGGACAGAACGGCTTGAAAGTTGAAACGACTGCCGTTAGCTTCCCATTCTTCTCGACATCCCCACTACAATTTTATTATATATGTATGTACACCACCACATTACTCTTACTCCTCTTACTTCTTCATATCATGAAGACCGTGTAGACGACGCTTCATTGCAATGACATTTATTGCGCGCGCGTCCTTTGATGGAAATATCGGTATCTGTTTCATATCACTCATATATATATATATATATATATATATACATACATATTTTTGACTCCCACGATAATGAAGAACCGATCAATTTTCTTCGTGAAATATTAAATTTACCTTCGGAATTTTTCGGACTTGTTCGCACAAGCTGTCAATTCTTTTAAGCGGTTAATTTTAAAAATTTTATCAGCTGATTTTTTTATCATATTGAAGTTAGCTGACAAATGTCATTTTTTTTTTTTTATTTTTATAACAATTAAAAAAATGTTTAAGGTCAACTTTTTGGACTAAAAAAAAATCTAAATTATTCTAAAGAAATTTGAAAAATAAATTACAAGTGCAAATTTTTAAAAATTAAAAAAATTTCCAGGTGTCTACAAACTTCAGCATAATTTTTTTTTTCTCTTCTGAAGAATGTATTATTGATGATTGTCAGTACTCAGAAGAATAAAAATGAGATTTAATTATCTAAAATTTTTAATTTATTCCAGAACACTCATTCAACAAATACGATGGCGCCAAGATGACGACGAGATCGAGGTTGCGATAAAAAAATCATATCAGGTAAAAAGATCTTACAGGTTGCGCAATAACAAATTTTATCAATTTATTGATTTTATTTTTCACCTATTTGTACTCAGGCGACTGTCTAGGTAAGTTTTTCCGAGTCTGTTTTGAATCTCGTGATTTTTCTTCTTGTTCCAAGCACGTGCTCCAAACAATATCGTAGATAACAAAGATTATTTCAGATTGTTATTGCGGAAATCTATTTTGTTGTGCCTCGCACTATGATAAGATACTGCTGATCGATGATGGATTAAAAATTGATTTATTATCTCTGTAAACTTTCCATTAACAAGAAGTCGCTGCAGACTGATCTGTTAAGTAAAATATATAAGGATCTGGTTAAAATTTTTAATCATACTTAATAACTAAGTAACTTATCCGACACTTGAAAAAAATAATTAAACCTAATTTATTAAAATTGATATTTATTGATAGCAAAATATTATTTACATATTTTTTAAATATTATCAGATAAAATTAAGTAGGTAATATTTAAGAGCGCAATCCAGTTTTTATTCAGCATCCTATTGATAAAATAAATAATATTTTTAATTCTGAATTGATTATCAGTATTTTGAAGATTAATTAAAAAAATACTTACATATTTTGTGTGCGATAAAAATATGTTGTAGAAAACATTCATTAGGTTGATATAAATCACGCGGTACTGTATTGGTATGAACAAAAAATTGACTATTTGAGTGGGTGGCCAAAAGCAACAATCCACCTTTAATTAAACAGGAAAAAATAAATAAAAATATTTTTATTAAAATTTAATAAAAATAAAAATATACTTTATAAGTCTCTAAAAGCTTCGCCAAAATTTCCCCGTAGATCAAGCGAAGATCTCGCTGCTCTAGCATCTCGTGACCGAAAAAGAAAATAGAAAGACATGTAGGACTGGCAATCACTTGGTCGAGGAATGTTTTCTTAACAATTGACGTGGCTGTTTTTCCAGGCAAAAATTTATCCAAAAATCCGTAAAAGTAATGATGAAAAGGCCCTTGGATAATCCCAATCATTGTCATATTTCGAGTGCGGATGACGTCAAGACCACTGCTTGCTGAATCGTTGTCCTCGAATTTATTGGTCAGATTTACCAGTTGATTACTTTGATTATCATTGTTGAAATTATTCGAGGATTGGACAAAGAATAAAGTATTTTTTTTATCATCCATTATATCTAGCTCCTGATCAGCAGACACTTGTAAATATTTACGTTTCCATTGTTCGCTGCGCTGCTGCAAAATATCCCCAATACCCATCATCAAGCCACAACTCACGGTGTTTGTGACTATGAGGTATTTTCCTGTTAAAAAAAATAAATTATTATTTAAAAGCATTTTTATAGTTATTTACTGAGAAAAAAAATATTCTATTAGGTATTATTAATTATTAATTTCTGAAGAGAAGAACATTAATATTTATCTTTGGATAATAGATAAACAAAAGAATAGCTTTATTTAAATTAAGTAAAAATTATTTCAATCAATTTAACAATTCCTTGAGCTAACAATATATATTCTTGAAAATTTTCAAGAACATAAATTCTTGTATCAAGGAAATTTTCTTAATAAAAGTATTTTTTTTTTTTTTCTCAGCGTTGAAGAAATAAAATATAAAATTCTTACCAAATACGATACTTTTTATTAAGTTCATTTATGTTTGGAAGGGATTTCTCGAGTTAGAAATATTAAAACTGTTGAATTATCAGTTCAGCAGTCGCTCAACTTTATTTTATTGTTTAATTAATATTAAAATGAACGTTACTTGATATTCTCTTCACCAAGGCAATTCTTGATTCGTTGACGTTTATACATGGGCAAAATAATTTTACTTGATTGAGGCCGTGGCATAACGTTCCACGACTTCCAAATAATTTTTTCAAAACTTGGAGTCGTAGTTAAAGACCCCGTTGTTGCAAAATTCTTTTGTCACTGACTAGAGAAAACAGCAAACGGAGTTGAACCTGCTCCCCATTCTAGAGCAACCGCTGACAGTTACAGACTGACATTTCATAACATCACCGATCCAGCTAAATACTTTTTCGCCCTGTCGAGATCTTGATCAAAAGATTCTCCTTTCGCGTTTGCGCGTTCAGACACGCGGGGAAAAATAAGTTCTTTCACCTATTTTTTTTTATCAATCAGCTGCAAAAAAAAATATAAAAGTACAAGTACTTTACTTGATCACCTCGGCGGTCGACGAGTGCAGGCGTCAAATCAATCTGACTTCCAGGAAATAACCAAACGCTTAATCTATTGAACTCTGATCATATTTGCTAGTATCTTAAACTATTATTTTTAATCAATTGTTTGCGCTATTGTAAACAAATAAAGATAGGTGATAGACGCGTTAGAAAATTCTGGAGTAAAATATAAAGAAAATTATAAAACTATGTAAAATGATATATGGAGAAAATGCAAATGCTTTAAAAGCATGCATTGAAAATCAATAATAATAATAATATAAAGAAAATTATAATTATTTTTGAAGTATGCAAAATACTAATTTTAATTAAAATTTTTATCCAAACTGTTTTGCTTATCAATAATTGATTAGCATCTTGTATCACTGAAACTTGAATATCTGATATTGTTATCGTTAAATGGATTTAAAAAACAATACGTTATTATTTATAGGATATTCCTTTTTTTTTATTCAAGTTTATCTGCCGTAACTTAATTTAAGTTGTTATAATAATAATTGTTATTTAATTATTTGGCAGGGGCAGCTTTCGGTTTAGGTAGTCCCTCTCTGAAACCGTTCCTGTAAAAAATAATCAAATGATAAATAAAAATAATTAAGATGAAATAAAAGATCTTAATTGAAGATGGAAATTAAATTAAAAAATTTTTTCATTGAAAAGAATGTTATAAAAAAAAATTGCAAGTGCAATTTTTAGAAAATATTTTTTTACTTAAAATTTTTGATTAAAAAATAAAAAATTATCATATATCTGCTAATTTTAGTATATTTAATTGAAGATACTTACTTGAACTTACGGCGGACGATTTTCAAGTGGCGCATACGGCCAGTACCAGTGGTCTTCCTCCTTTTAGCTTTGACTGACCAGTTGTCTAAAAACAGATAATATTTTTATTGACTAAAAGCTCATTTATCAATTTTCAATTTATATTTTATCGTATTTAATAACTTACAGGATCTCATTTTCTTAGCTGGGTATCCACACTGGGCACATTCAGATTTCTGGATGTGATAAGAGCTGCGACCACATCTCCGACACAAAGTGTGGGTTTTGTTGTGGCGCTTTCCAAAACTTGATGTACCTTTCGTCTGAATTAAAATAAATTAGATTAATTATCATGCTTAATAGTAATATACTATTATTTTATTTAATGGATTAAATAAAATAGTTAGGACATGTCACGTAAACATTTGACAAACCTAACCTATTTTTCAATCACATGGATTTATAAACAATAAAAACCACGCTAATTTTACAACTATTGCATTAAATAATCATGTCAAATAATTATTAACATCTTAATTAATAAATTAACATCAAAACCGCGAAGATTCCATAAAATATATCGGATTTTTATTAAAGAAAATAAGCTCACCATCTTGAAAGGCAAATGCTCTCCCGCAAAAGAACTAAATCGCTGCTGACCTTAAAATGGACGAGTTTCCCCGGTAGAGGGCGCTCGTTTTTTTTTTTTTTTTTTTACCGGAACAACTAAATCGCGGGAAAATATTTAAAAGAGGTAATGAGGATGTTTGAAAATAAATAATTCAGTAATTAAAAGATAAAAAATTTATTTATTAAATTTCCATAAATCTATCAGATTCTGTCAAGACTTCACGAGAGTGATTGCTTCCTCCACGCACGACATGCTCAGTACCAACGAGACAATCTTTCAATTCGCATCCTTCCTCGACAATACAGCCATTACATAAAATACAATTTTGTACAACACATCTGAAATATTTAAAAATTAATTAGTAAAAATTTTATAATAAATTCTATTTAATAATTTATTAAATAATTGAAATTAATACCTTTCTTTAATAGTTACATTTCCCATGATAACACAATTGGAGACGCGTGTCTTGGGTTCAATAATCGAAGCTGGACCTATATGAGAATCTTTTACTGATGTTTTTTCATCGATCAACGCTCCTTCGTCGACATTACAATTTGAAATTTGAGTACTCTTCACTGTAGAGAGTGAAGAAATTACAGGTAATGATACATTACTCGGTATAAAACCGGATGTCTGAAAAAAAATTTATGATGATTTTTTTTTTTTTTATATAATTTATTTGTTAAAAAAATTATTAAATAAAAATTTTTATAGTGATAAATAAATTAAAAATCAAGTTAAACTTACCATACTATTAGCAAAGCTATACATTTGTACAGTATTGGCTCTAAGTCCGCCATTATTAGGTATCATGTAAGCATAACACCTGATAATATCATCATGATAAGCATTATCGAGGTCAGAATCATGATCATTAAAAGCAGACATTTTTCTGATCAAGGTATCCAGCTTGCTTTCAACAGCAAAGCGATAAATGTCATCTTTAAGATCCATTTTTACTACTGAGGCATTTTTATCGTCTACTACGGATGGCTTTGGTGGACGACTGAGTTGTTTTTTGACGATGTAAGGAAACAATTCACCCTTGAGAGTTCCAAAGCTCCTGAAAAAAAATTACAATTAATTATTTTTATAATTTTATTATTATATTATTTAAAAAATATGATACTTGACTTACTTATTGTGTACCAAAAAATCAAGAACCCATTTACTGATTACATAAAAATGAGCATCTAATAATTTAGAGTGCATGGTAAAGTTAGTATGCTTTTGGAGTAATTTCTGTGAAATATAAAGATCTTCTTCAAAATCTGACGCAGAAGCTAGGAAGACTAGTCTGTTGGTTTTATTATCTATCCCAATGAGATCTGTTTCAGGTTTTTGTTTACTTTTAGGCCCTGGAACGACAAAAGTCAAGGGTATCTTGGGCAGTGGGAACATGACAGCAGTGATGCTGGCTTTATTTCTTCGGTACAAATTCAACACCTCTGGAATATTTATATCAGCGATCAAATCACAGGAAACAACGATGAAATCCTTGTGAATTTTATCGTGAATGTATCTAACAGCGTCAGCTGTTCCCAGATCTTCGCTCTCTGGAATACCGACCAGCTCCAACTTGATGTTTAAATTCAACTTGTCTAAAGCAGCTGTTATTTCTTTTTTAGTATTTTCTATAACAATAACTATTGCTTCGGTGAATCCGGCATTTTCCAGGGATTTTAGTGAATACCAGATCATCGGGACGTTGTGAATTGGTAAAAGACACTTTGTTTTTCCTGCTGTTAACTCAGTCATTCGTGATCCTTTACCACCAGCTAACACCACCACTTGAAACTCCGTGTATTTGGTCATTTTCAATTAAAGTTTTTAATTTTCTTCACTCAATTTTCAATAAACTTATTTATATTCTGTAATAAATTTTTTAATGAGGCAATACTTAACAATAATGATAATATAACCTAAAATAATATTGACAATGTGAGAGCAAGACTATTTAAAGTTCTTGTTTTCCTCGATAGGGTCGCTGTTTTTTCTATTTTTTTGCGGGAAAATTATAAACTATCAATAATTTTTTTAAGAATTTAATTTTTCAAAAACTATTTTTTTACTCAGCATACAATTGATGAGTATTGATAAAAAATAATATAATTAATTAAAATCAAATCCTCAAATCATTTCCACTTCATTCATAACATCAATACAATTCGCTAAAGATAATTTCGGTTTTCCAAGTTTCTGGTTACTGACATAGAAAGGAAAAGAATTGAACCCATGACAAGCTGCTCCGTATTCTCCATTTTTATTTAAAGCAATAATAGCTCCGCTGAAATTAGGATAATGTTTAGCAATTCTTGTGACTGCCACTTCAGCCGCTTCGCTTGGACTGGCTCCTCGACGCATTTCTTCAACAGCTAAGAAACTAATGACATAATAATTATCATCAATTAGTATGACAATTGTCAATTGTAATATTTTATAAATATTAATTTAAAAAATACAAATTTTTTGTGTACCTAGGTAAAAATCGCATCATCACATCACCATCTCCAGTGCCAGCAGCTGCGCCAACTTCTTGATCAGCGTAAGCCCCAGCTCCAGGAACTGGCGAGTCTCCAACTCTTCCAGGTATCTTGTGGTTTGCTCCGTTTGTCGACGTCCCAGCTGCAATTTTTCCATTACTGTCCATTGCAATTACACCGATAGTGTCATGATTGTCTTCATCTATGTCAAAGGATTCCAAATAGTTATCTTCGTTCTTTTGCTCTGGCAAAGGAGTGTACGGGCCACATGAAGCTGAGGGATTGGGACTGACATTCTATAATAAAAAATATTTATTAATATTAGGTTATTTTATGGGAAACTGATTATTAATTTGAACAAACCTTCCAGAAGTTTGGTTGACACGCATTTTTAATCCAAGACTCCCACATATTTTTTGAAAAATCAGTTGTTAGTGATTCTTGTTTGAATCCCATCTTCAGAGCAAAGTCAGTAGCAAGAGATCCAGCTAATAGAGTATGTTTTGTGTTCTCCAGGACTTTTCTAGCAACTGATATTGCATTTTTTATGTTTCGAATCCCACCAACAGCTCCGACGTCCATGGTTACTCTAATTTTATGATTATAATTATTTAAATTGACTTATTAAGTGTTAAAATTTTAAAAACTATGACAATTTATTTAATAAAATAATTACCCATCCATAATCATAGCGTCGAGTGTAGTTTCACCGAGTTCATCAGGACTTCCTCCATATCCTACTGTAGTACGACACTGCTGTTCTTCGCATAAAGTACAAGCACCTTCGATTGCATCTATCGCACTTTTGTGATCTTCATATAAAATTTTCCATGCTTAAAAATAAAAAAATAAATATTTAAAATATGTAGCAAAATTATTTATATTAATTACCATGCTCAGTAGCATTCAAATAGTCCCATGTTATTACCACTAGCGACGAATCACTGTTTATTGATAAAAATTGGCTAGATAATATTAAAAACAAACTTGGTAAATTGAGTAATGTCATTTTGACGGTATAAATATAACTGCGGTTTAATTGTTTGCAATGAGAATTTATATTATACAGATAAAATGGAAGAGGGAGTTGATAAACCGACGGAATTTTTTAACTTATCGCCAAGATTAGAATTTAATAACAACAAAAATAAGTCCAATGGTTGTTTATTATATTTATTATAGTATGTCAAAAATCACAGATATTTTTAAAATTAATTTTAGTAATAACAAGTTAAAAATTTTTTGCCTTTACAAATGACAAATTTTACAAATTCACTATTCATTTATTTTATTTAAACAATTACATCTTCATTATTGTAAATAAATAGTATTTTTTAATTGAAATTTTTTTATTAATTATTGAATAAGTTTAAAACTGTCAAAAGGCGGGCTTTTAATAAAAATTTCAACTGGACTTACTATACTATACCAAAAACGTTCCATGAAAACTGACACAAAATATAACCTGTAAAAGTATACTCTCTGGTTAAAGTTTTTTCTAATCACCCGCCGTCGACGGACTCGTCGCAGTGGTATATATTCGTCGTTTGCAACGCCAAGTTTTCATAAATTGAAAATTTATTTTTTGTTTAAATATTTTTACTGTAATATAAAACTATAGATAAAAAAATAAAACTGAGTGAATAAATAAAATTTGTAAATTTAAGTGTACAATTATAGTTGAAAAAATCTTTACATACATCTATATATACGTATGTTACGTGTGTGGGTGCTCGAGAGTTAAGTTTAAGTAGGAGCCACGCCGTCAAGTAATTATAAACACAATTATTTATAATAATAATGATAATATAGTTTAATAATAATTAACAATACTGATAACATTTAAAAAATATTATAATCATCATTATTATTAATACAATCATATGTACTATCGGGCAAACGTAATTGATAATTGAATTGGTTGCAGATAGACTACTTGAGACGAGTTTGAAAATGGAGACACCTATTAACTTGAACAATTCATTCCTAACCTAAATGACGATGATCAAAACCAGTAACGATTATTTGTAATTAACGGGATTATAAAAAAGTGTTATTTTTATCAGTTAAAATGTCGACAAACGTTCAGTTCGCGAATCCACCCCCGCCGACGGGGATAAGTTTGCCTAACATGTCGGTGCCACCACCGACGGCTCCAAATTTATCAGCACCACCGCCAAATTTGACGACGATAAACACTGCGCCTGGAGGATTCCAGTCTCAGCAACAGCAGCAGCAACAGCAGAGGTTTCTCAATCACCGGGACAACACTCGGGGATTTTTCAAGCCCTTTCGACCTTATCATGCCCCGAAGATTGTTTCAGGGAGTCAAGATGCCCTGCAAGATGAATTTGATGGCAAGAGATTGAGAAAGTCGGTCATGAGGAAGACAGTGGATTATAATTCTGCTATAATTAAGACTCTGGAGGTGATTACTCACTCTAAATATCAATTTTTCTCTTCCCATGTTTTCATTTATAATAATAATAATAATAATAATAATATTAATTTAATATTTAATTAATTATATTAATTATTAATTTTTTAGAATCGTATATGGCAACGAGACTTCCGTGACAGACGACCTCTTCAGCCGGACGTAATGTATTACCCGGACCTTTTACCACCTCCGAGTTACGTTGACAATCCAATCAACGCCGTAACCACGAGGTTCGTCAAAACTGCGACAAACAAAATGCGTTGTCCTATTTTTTGTATGGCCTGGACTCCAGAAGGTCGACGACTGGTCACTGGAGCTTCAAGCGGTGAATTTACCCTCTGGAATGGTCTTACCTTTAATTTCGAAACAATTCTTCAGGTATGATGATTCAAAGTATATAGTAAATGATAATTAAAATTGTTACTCATGTAATAAAATTTGGACCTTGTTCAGGCACACGACAGCCCAGTTAGGACGATGGTTTGGTCACACAACGAAAGCTGGATGGTGACCGGGGACCACTCGGGATACGTCAAATATTGGCAGAGCAACATGAACAACGTCAAGATGTTTCAAGCCCATAAAGAGGCGATCAGAGGACTCAGGTATATCATCATCCACCACTCTAGCCCTTTCGTTTCTCGTGACACTATGCTATTTATTCGAACTACTATTGTCTTCGTGTACTGCTGGAGTGCTCCAAGTCAAATGGACTTTCTGTTACTCTGTTTTCTGCGATGGATTAAAATCATTTCTAATTTTTACCGCGATCCGCCATGAATTTTCCATTATCTATTATTTTAATGATAAATCATAACTGATGACAATTTTATTTAATTGATAAACTTTTTAAATACGCGATTAATTGATGGTAGGGGTCTGTCAGTGCTCCTGGTCCGGAAGATCTATTGTGTACGTATGAGCGTATGTGATCCCGGCCATTAAAAAAATTTAGTTAGTTTCTAATTCATTTTTTTTTAAATCTTCCATCTTAGTTTGATTGATTATTATTATTAATATTACGTATCGTAAATAATTTTTTAATTTTTCGTGGCAACCCTTGCCGTCAATTCGCGGAATGCTGTATATTTAAATAGCGGGCGAAAATAAATGTCTGTAATTATGGTTATATATTTTTTCATATACATATTTGATGATAATAATGATAATAAAAATATAATCCTGCTTCCTTATTTTTACAATTATAATATCCAAATGGAAATATTTTATAATAATAAAATAATTTTTTAAATTGTTTTTGATAAATAAAATTTTGGGGGGATGTATTAATTATTTTGAGACAATTTACAGTAAAGATATCATTTTAGACTGGTAAATTACACATGTGCATGAATGTGATTATGCAAGTGAGAGAATGGGGGTGTGAGCGCAGCATTATTAAAAAATAAAATTAAAGTTATTTGATGTACACATTCCCTTTCGCTATTTTTGTATTTAATAAAAATTGAATCTATTAAAGTGAAAATTTTAAAAGTAATAACTCATGGAAACATCTACCGGTGGTCATGTGGCATCGACAATCAATTTTTATCCATTAATAATAATAAAATCAATTAAATTACTCGTGTGCCAGGTATGACTATCGGAGATTATTATTCGTTCGTAGTTGCTCCCTTTATAACGAAACTTTAATGATAGCTTCTTATTATTTATTAACACATAAATAATTTAATTAAAATTAATTACGGATCATTCTAATAAAAATTATTCCGGTTTTATTCGCGAGTTAAATATTTTACCATCAATTTCAACTGTTTTATTATATAATTGCTAATTAAATAATAAATTACAACACAATATTTACTTATAAAATTATTATTTATAAATTAATATTAGTAATTGATAAATAAAAGTTGCGGTCGGCGTAGTATGTAATTATTATGTTTTTTTCGGCGGGTAGTTTCAGTCCAACGGATCACAAATTGGCGACTTGCAGTGACGATGGCTCTGTCAGAATTTGGGACTTTCTACGCTGTTATGAGGAGAGAACTCTTAAAGGTATAAATTTTTATTTATTTTATATAATTAACACTGAAATTAAAATTCATTTGATAACTTAAAAAATTTTTTTTTAATTCTTTAGAAGCTCAAAAAAATTATAAATGTAATTTTTTTTGATAATTTTCTAGATCTAATTTATTAAAAAAAAAAATCTAAGTGTCTGCTAATTTCAGTGTGATTTTCTATAATTATCTATAAAATTAAAAAAAAAATTATTATTATTATTATTATTATTATTATTATTATAAATAAAAATAATTAGAAGAGAAGATAACATAGTATTTGTACGTAGGTCACGGTTCTGATGTAAAATGTGTCCATTGGCATCCCCAAAAAAGTCTAGTCGTCTCTGGAAGCAAAGACAACCAGCAACCAATAAAATTATGGGATCCAAGAACTGGCCAAGGGCTGGTGACGTTGCACGCTCACAAGAGTACAGTTATGGATATTAAATGGAACGACAACGGAAATTGGTTGGTGACAGCGTCGAGGGATCACTTGTTGAAGCTTTTTGATCTGAGGAATTTGGGTCAAGAAGTTCAAACGTTTCGTGGTCACAAAAAAGAAGCTTCGAGTGTCGCTTGGCACCCGAGCCATGAAGGTCTTTTCTGTAGTGGAGGTAGCGATGGTGCTATTCTCTTTTGGCACGTTGGGTAAGCTTCAATTCAATGATTGTATTAATTTTATTTTTTGATTTATTTGTAATCTAATAAAATAATATTTTATTGCAGAGCTGACAAAGAAGTGGGTGCGATTGAGCAAGCTCACGACAGTATCGTCTGGACATTAGCCTGGCACCCACTAGGGCATATTCTCTGCTCCGGTAGCAACGACCACACTTCGAAATTTTGGACTCGGAATCGTCCAGGAGATCTCATGAGAGATAAATACAATCTTAATACCCTGCCTGCTGGAGCAGCTGGCATTGACGATCATGAAATTGGTACCTACTTTGTTTTTTTTTTGATTTTTTTTTTAATTTAAAATTTGAAGCTAATTTTTTATTTACAATTTTTTTAACAATTCTAGCTGACGAAGCTGCAGTGATACCTGGAATGGGTCCTGAGGACAAAATAAACGAGTTTGACCTTGAACAGTCGATGGAAGAAGACACTTCCCAAGGAATACCTGGGTTGGACCTCGATCACGCGGCAGAAGAAAGTAAAAAACTCGCAGCGAGTAAGAAAGTACCGTACAGCAAGCCTATTCCCCGGAACTTCCAAGCACAGTGGAATGAAATGGAAGCTGAGGATCCAGAGCAAGTGGAAGCGTTGAATGCTATTGTCAATCAGTTGATTGAAACTACACCAGGAGCAGTGCCTTTAAATGAAGTCGCTCCTAATGCTATTATTTTATACGGAAAAATAATTCCTGTTGAACGTAAGTCTCTTTACTTCTGAGTGTAATTTTTTTTTTTTTTTAATTATTTTAATTAAATTATTTTTTAGCTGGGTCAAAACTTTCCGAAGCGATTGTAAAGGGCAACGACGCGATAAATAAACTAATAACTGCGGGTGAAATAGAAGAACTGAGAGATGTCGCAATAAACTTGCCAGAAGAACCAGAAATAGAGGAAGACTATTTGCAAGATGAAGGCGAAATAGACTACACTAAAGTTCCAAATGTAGATTTACCACCGCCACTGCCTAGTTCAAAGTTTGCTCAAAATCCAGAATTATTAAAAGCGCTAAACTACGGAGGGAAGCGCAAGTTTGATCAGTTGATCGCGTGGACTGAAGCGAATCCAACTGAGCGAGGAAATAAAATGCACCAACCGGTGTTTGGAGCCGGTGGAATGTCCGATGATTCATTGTCGAATAACGACAGTGATCTAAGGATAATGCCCGGTATGAAGAACCCTCAAGATAGTTACTTCGCAAATCAAGATGAGGATCTTAGGAGAATCAATAGTGTAGATAACCGGGGAGGAATGGGTCGGGATGAGGACATGAGGATGAATGTCGCTTCAGCGAGTGGCCCGGGAAGGCCACCGGGTATGATGATGAATGAATTCGACATGCGCAATTCATTTGACATGAGGAATTCGTACGGTGACAGGGACTTTAGGCATTTAGGACCTCCTCCAATTATCGGTGGGTTTAAAAAGTCCTCCATGGATGCCAATGACAATTTTGGAAGTGGAGATATGGATCGTGATGGACGACAACGGTCCTGGGACGACGACAAAGGAATGAACAGCAACGACAGCGGGCGTTCTAACTTCGATAAGCGCGATATGTCTTCAAACATGCAGAACAACAGCATGCAAATACCAATGGGAAATATGCCTTCAGGAAACATGGGATCAAACCACCACAACATGCAGAATATCAGCCCGAACATGCCTCCGTCGATGATGTCAATGATGCCTCCGCATCACCAGCAGCACCATCAGATGAATCATCTTCCTAATATACAAAATAAAAATAATTCCAACATGATGGGAGGCAATGACAACAGCGGCCCGATGCCGCCTCACATGATGCACATGTCCAACTTTGGACCCAATGGACCTCCACCGATGCCTCCCAACTTCGGGCCTAACTTCCGACCGCCCAATGGGAACTACGGACCCAATCCACCCTACAGACCCAATCCCATGGCTCCTTTTGCTCCTAGTCAAAATATGCCTTTTAATAACAATTTCCCTCCGCCGAATTTCCGCGGTCCCAATCCTGGGAACAATCAAATGTCCAACTTTGACCGTCCGCCCGGCTTCGGACCGAATTTCCGCATGTCGGGAAACCAATCTGGACCACACGGCTCCGGCGGGGGTAATTTTAACTCGGGGTATGGGAAAAATTATAATAACAGCGGAGGTGGTGGGGGTAACATGGGCAGTAGCGGAAGCGGTAATAATTCTGGAAACAAAAATGGACCCTATCGTGGTCAGCGATATAAGAATAACAATAATAAGAATAATAATAATAATAATGTATAAGAATAATAATAATAATAATAATAATAATAATAATAATTAAATTTAAATTGTAATATATTATACAGTCCATTGAGTGATCTGTCGTCTTTTAAAATAATACCGGGTCACTTTCACGAGTTGCCTTGGAGTGGAATTATTAATTTATTCCAACACGAGGAAATACCCTATTATACATGCATAAATATTATTAATAATAATAATAATAATATTGATATTAATAAGTAATTAAATATAAAATAGAAAACAGGCAATTGCGTGTACTTTGAGAAGATAATGATGAAAAGGTCGATTCCAGAAGACAATTTACTTAATAAAAATCAATTATCCCATTTAATTTTTTTTTATTTACTAATTGCTGGATTAAAATTAAATAACTCATGTTATTGTTTAATATTTTCGATTCTAATGTTTTGGAGTTATTTTATTTTTTGCAGTAAATTTAATTATTTAATTAGAGGTATAATATAAATCTAATAAGTATTTTTATAATTTATAAAAATAATAGTTTAGTTATTTAATTTTTTCTTATGTATATCTATGCTTAATTAAAAAATATAATACATCCCTATTAATTTTTATCAATAATTATCCGCAATATATTGAAATTTAGAGACAATTGATAATTCTTTTTTAACAATTAAATTATAACAAGAAAAATTTATTAAAAAAAATTTCATATTTATAAGCTTTTAAAAATTATAAATGCAATATAATTTTATAAAAAATAATTTATTTGTTAAAAAATTCTAAAAATTATCTAAAAAATTAAAATAATAATTATAAATATCTATTACAAAATGTCAGGTGTCTCAGCCACGTGTTTAAATAAGTAGTGTGTAAATAAACGGAGCTGAAAAATAAGATGATAATTAGCCCAACCTACAGCCGATACACTGGCTCTCTGGAAAAACACTTAACACTTGGACGCCACGTGTGTAGGGCGATATATAAAAGCCTGGTGCCATGTAAAACAAATATTACATATTTACACCTAACCTCTCAACCTAGACAACGTGCGTAAGTTAGTGTTTTAAATAGTTTTATAATTCTAATAAAAAATATTAAAAAAAAAAAACAAATAATGGATAAAGAGGTTAATTGCCAAGAGACAGTGTCAGTTGGTGATTATATAATAATTCAGAAGCAGGATTACCGAAAAGTATGCCGAATAACACGTGATGGAACGTTTACGTTGGGCAAGGAGCAGGTTGAGATGTCCGGGATCATCAACAAGCCTTACTGGACGACATTCAAGATGATCGGGCCGGTGTCGAGCTTGAAAAATGGTTTGAAAACAATAACTCTGGAGGTTGCGGAGAAAGCCGAAACGTCGGAGAACATCCACAAAGGCCTGGCCAGCGGGAGCGATAACAGATCAATCAATGACGATGGTACGTCTCAAAAATTATCTAAAGCTGAAATAGAAGATTTACGCGAGGCCGGTAAATCAAGTAAGGAAATAGTTGGATACTTAATTGAAAACAGCAGCTCATTTTCCTCGAAAACAGAGTACTCACAGGAAAAGTATATTAAAAAAAAAGAAACAAAGTACTGTAGGTATCTTACTATATTAAAACCAACGGTGGGATTGTTACAGGAAATTTATTTCAGGCAAGATCCTGGGAGAGTTAATTGTTTGAGAATGGACACCTTGTCACAGATATTGTCTTACTGCGACGTTAAATCCGAGGGCAAGTATCTGCTGTACGATGGTGGATCCTGTGGTCTGGCTTCTGCTGCGATGTTGAGCAGGATTGGTGCCAACACACAAGGTACTTTGATAAACCTTCATCCAGGAAACCAGCCCAATTTAACTCTAGTACATGCTATGAATTTTACTGACGAGCAAGTAAAGCGAATGCTTGCTGTTAATCTTTATACATTTTTACGGCTTTATTACCAGGGCGATCAGGTTATTCTAGAGGAGCTGGCGAAAAAGTACGCGCTCTCGGCGCTCAGACGGCAAAACTCAGAGAACCACGATGTAAATCATCAGGCGAAGAAGCCGAGACTGGAGCCAGAAGTCGAGGATGATTCTACGACCACCAGCGAAGAAGAGGAGAAAAAATTAAACGATGTTATTATGGAGACTGACATCGAGGCTGCTGATGAGCTTATCAAGACGGCGGCCTTCAAAAAACCCAAGTGGTTTCAGGAAACCAAGGAGGTTGTTGACTGTTTAAAACTATCAAAGGCTGATGGGTTGGCTATTGTTGCCAAGGAGCATCCTTTGAATATTGTTAATGCTTTATTACCTTATTTGGAGGTTTCTAAACCTTTTGTTATTTATCATTGTTATCGAGAGCCTCTTCAGGAGACTTATGTTGCTCTTAAGTCACGCAAGGATGTTATTAATTTGAGATTATTGTCTAACTTTTGTCGCGGGTATCAGGTGCTACCCAACAGGACTCATCCAGAAATCACTACCAATGACTTAGGTGGTTACCTTTTAGCTGGATATTTAGTTAGCTGAGAAAAAATTGTTATTGCAATTTTTTATGTCAATTAATTTTTTGATTTTCTTTCGATTAGAATTGTATTATTTTTGAATAAACTTACTATAAATATTGATATTTGATATTTATGCTACAATAAAGAAAATTTTACGATAAATTAATATGTATATTAATATTTTTTGTTTTTTATTTATAAAAAAAAATACTTTTATTCTAATTATAGTAGTAGAAAAAATACTGATTTGTTGTAATTTACTTTTTTGAGCTTAAATAAGGTCTACTAGACGAATTTTATTCCTGTCGTTACGGTGATACATCGCAATATCCGCTTCGATCAATGATTTAACACAATCCAAGGATACGTCGTCAACATCTATGTATTTTTCATCTCCTTCTTTTGAATATGCATTCACCAGGTTCTGTAAATAAGTCAAAATTTAAACTTGTAATTTTATTTTAATTAAAAAAATAAAATTAACTCTAATAAATTAATAAATTAATAAATACAATTTTTGAATTCTAAATTTCAAGAAAATTGGTTTTTTGAGAACATTAACTGGATCTTTTACCTTACCAGAGTATTTTCGTAAAAATTAATTTAATACATTTATTAATTACCTTTAGCAGTCCATGAAAATTGTCTTCTGGATAGATAATGTCAACTACTTTTGCCTTGAATAATTTAAAATAAAAATTAATTTAATAATTTTAAGAATGATGTAATATTAATATGTGAAAAAAAAAAAAATTTACCAAGTCAGCTTTGACAGTCAAGAAAGACCTTTTTATTCTGCTGATATCTCCATCACTCGTTTCAGCATCAACATTCTCGACAGCATCTGAGCACATATCTTTCATTTTTTGTAAATTATTTTTCTCGCTCATCAATCTATAAAAAAACAGTAAGTATGATATCAATTAAAATAATTAATTAAATTTTATAATACAAAACTTACGAGCTGATACTCTTTTTGACATCTAGAAATTGAACTTTAGTCTGATCCAATATTGTCTGGATATCCGAAATTTCTTGGAGCAATGCAGAGTCTAGTGACGTAAAAACATCTACTGAATTTTTGATAGGTCTTATTCGGTCATCATAGTCCTGTTCTTCGTTCACTAGAGCTTTCACGAATTTTAGTTGCTCTGCTTCAATATCTTCTGGCTTGACGTTCGGTGACACTGTTTCAATGGGATTCTTCGAGAGTAATGAGATAAATTCATTTTTTTGCTCGAGAAGCTCGGCTTCAATGTCTTTCAAGTATTCGTATGTTTGCTTCAGTTCATTATCTAGTGCGTTTGAATCTGAACTATTATTGTTGTCAGATAAAGCCTGAAATAAACCGCCAAGAAATAATTAAAATAAAGTCAATCAAAGAATAAAAAAATTGATTAAAAAATTTACAAGTATTTTGTTTAAATACTCACCATTTTAAATAATTTTACAAATAAAAAAACAAAATTAATTTTTGCAAGGGTAGTAAAAAAGTCAAAAAATAATTTAGGGTTATATTTATATTTATATTTTCAAGTCAAATTCAAGATTCGTCCTCTGTGGATAAATTTAAATTTTAGTACTTATAAAAACCATCAGGTGGCGCCATCATTCTTACAACTGCGCCGCAACGCAAAAGATGGAATCAAACGGTCGAGCGGTTGAAATATTCATCTCGTATAATGAACAATTCTCTTAAATAAATTATGTATTAATTAAAAAATACCTAATTACGGAATTCGGTTGGGATAATTGTATAAATAATCGCAAATATTTCAATGTCATTGATAATCATTGTCGTTATATTAAAAATTTTGAAATGTCATTTTATTCAATGTATACATATATATATATATATATATATATATATATATATATAACGAGTGTAACGGACACTTGAAGATTGAAAGTAGATTTTTGATAATAGTTTTAAAGAAATTTCCATTTTGTTGTTTTTTAATAAATATCTACGAAGTTAATTGTTTCAAAAAAACAGTAAGCTAAGTTAATGGCACCGATGGACGAAGGAAGAATATGAGATAGTCATCCGGGATCAAGCTGCTAATTGTAAGTACACAATAATTTTTTTAAATTGTTTTTTTGAGTTTAATTAAATGTATAAGAAGAATTTTGACAATAATTAACCGAAAATGAAAAAAAATCGCTCAAACAGGGACTTGAACCCTGGACCCTCAGATTAAAAGTCTGATGCTCTACTTTTTTTTTTTTTAAAGAAGTTTATTTGCTTAGATAAAATACATTTTCTTGTTAATACATTATAGGCTGCATTACTTAACTTAAAAAAAAGCCTTAAAAATCTTAGATATAACTTATATCAATAGTTTAGACCGCAAGTCTCCTTGATTGGAGCGGCTGGGGTCTATCCGTTTTTCCTAATTAAATAATTATTGTTTATTTGTTCTCTAATCACTTGAAAATAAATATTGTTGTTTATAAATATTCTGATTTCTTTTATAATAATACTCAAGTGGAAAGTCATCTTCTAAAACCACTTATATAACTCATCTCATGCTTTTGCCAGTCTGATGCTCTACCGACTGAGCTACTCAAGCACGAGAGGTTAGAAAAAAAATCTCCTTTAAAAAAATAACCTCCTAAGGAGGATAGTACAAAAAAAAAAAGAATTTTTTTTCTGTTTAACTTTTTTTTTCGTCCAAAAAAATTATGTTTTGAATTTGTAGGGATTATTTTATGAGTTTTAATCAAAGAAAAAAAAAAAAAAAAAGTTTCGAGCTAGTGATTTTTATTTAATTTATATTTTATAAAAAGCATGAAAGTTATGGTTGAAGCCAGATATTTTGTTCCAGCCATGGAACGTAATTAGAAACCCGGGTATAAATTCCAGGAATAAAACTTCCGCACAACCTTCCTAAGCTAGTGATACCGATTACATTATACATGCAGTGGTGTTGATCATTGATATTAACTAATGGACCACCACTGTCTCCCTGACACGTATCTTTGTCCTCTTCACCTGCACACAACTGCCACTCATTTATCACCCCCTGCTTGAGCTTGTAGTCACTGCTGCCCCCGAGAAAGTTCGCGTTGCACTCTCGGTGAGGTACCATGGCCAGGGTTACTTTCAGCAGATCAGCAGATCCTTCTTCATCAGCTGAAAATTAAATAAAATTATCAGTAGAACTAACTCTGTTGATAATTATAATCATGAACATATAAAAGATAAATTACCCCAATCAACTCTACCCCAGCCAGTAGCGATAGCGTTTTCAGTGATGACATTACCGTAAGGCAAGCAAGCTGGTCTTACATATGCGTCAAACTTAACCGGACTTTCCATTTTTATAAGCGCAATATCATGATATTCCAGCGGTTTTTTGTAATCCGGGTGACGTATTATGTCGATTATTTTCCTCACTTGAGGTCTTGCGTCGTCATCATTGCGTTTTAAGTTTAAATCTCCAACTCTGATCTGCGTTGGCTTACCACTGAAATTTTTATTCCAAAAAGTCAGTAAGTATAAAATTATTTTTATTTATAATTAGAGAATATTGTTACTGTAATTTTTTGATCTTACTAATCTAAAGTATAAGTACAGTGAGCAGCAGTCAGCACAAATCTATCAGAGACCAGCGTACCGCCGCAAAGCCACAAAATTTCGCCTCTTGCTTTGGAAGTATATCCAATTGCCGCCATATGAGGAAACTCTTTCGGGCCTGCTTTGGTACCACCAACAATCAGTTTTTGCGATTTAATGGCACAGAGAGAAACATTAACTTGCTGACGATTGTTCGATAATGTTGGTGGAATTATCAGCGTGTAGACTGAACGTGAGTATTCGGCGCATTCTTACAATGGAAATAAAAATAATAATGAAACTTTTTTAAAATTTAACAGGTTCAATAAACTTACTTTGGTTTGCCAAGCTGCCTGGTTTTTGAAATTGGTTGTTGTTGTTGTTGTTGTTATTATTATTGAGAGGTATCTCTGGTGAATCATCATCAGTGTAATCCGAAAAGACCCATGAATCAGTATCACGTTCGGTAGTCGTCCTTATTGGTTTTTTTGAAGTAAAAAATCTACTTGTTGACCTTTCTGTTGTTGGTTTGCGTGATGTTCGTGCTGTAGTAGCAAAACTTGTTTTACCGCTATTGGTACTTGTCAATGTACGACAGCAAACGACTGGTTCCAAATACAAGTAGCTACAAATGCTCTTGGGAATTATCCCGGATAATAGTTCCTGTTTAACTTCATCGCATTTAGATAGTGGCTTGCATACGCCCCGTGTCTTATCATCCAAGCTACAATTGTCGCCTGCACATTATGCCATTTTTAGCGTTTAAATTACTAGTTTTTACTTTAATTTGTTACTTACCTTCGGACAATTGACCAACAACAACTGAAATTGAGATAAGTTTCCACAGTATCGAGTAAGCAATTGAAAGATTCATCCTTATCACAAATTATTTTGTTATAACAATCGAAACTTTTGTTGACGGACGTTTATTTACACAAACGACTGTGACGACCTTTCACAATATACTCTGGCGTGTCTCGATGCCGCGAATCCTCTTCAATCGTTCTATCCCCACTAATTTAGTTAAGATATTAATAAATACACCTATATATACAAGCGAGAGCATTTTATCCTGATACTTCATGCGTCAATCCTTGATGTGACCTCTTCAATTATACTACTGAATCATTATTCAAATGAGATAATGATACTTGTGTTAAAATTTTTATTAAAATTAACATTTTAATCTCTTATGCATAAATATAATAACTTGGAATATTTCTCCAAGAAGTTTAATAATGATATTTATAAAAATACATATTCACAATCTGGGATTCCCAAGAATAAATATTTGACATAGCTAGCTAATTACTGAAATTCCAATTTTTTGCTTTAATCTTGTCGATTGTTTTCACGAACTGTGATCTTACCTGATTCCGACGGCTTGAGTAAACAGAAACAACTCCGCAGTTTTCCCAGGGTATCTCTTAAAGTAACTTCAAGTTGAGCTGGTTGAACTTTAAAACGTCTGATTTATGAACTTAAAAATTGTAGGCTTCTTTTTAAAGAAATAGCTCCGGTAAAAACTGCGGTTAGCAAGATTCCGAGGATTCTAGTGGTTTCGGTGAGTTAAAAAAAAGATTTAAGTTGTATCCCGACTATTTTATAACTTTTTGAGGTAAAAATCATTGGGTCAATAGTTGTACTCTGAAGTTTAAAAAAGTAAATTAAAAATATTTATTTCTTTTATTCTAAATGCATTTATTTGTTTTAGGTCATAGGGTGAAATAAATTAAACCAATTAGTAAAGTACAGCAAGACTGCACCTGAAGCCATCAGAAATACAAGTAGCAAGTCTAATTTTTAAAGTGATGGTTATCGAGGAACAAGTTAAGACTGCATCATTTTACATATGTCAACTCGTATTACGTTTACACATGTGGGTGGAAACTGGCGCATACATGTATATGTGTAAGTGTAGAAGCTACAGACGCCCCTGAAACTCTCGAAGCTCTCCTTGCATTAAAGTGCGAGGCATTAAGTAACTGACGTCGTATTCGACTAGGCTTTTGGATTTTATGACAACGGGTGTGCGCTAACACTTCAACACTTATCAACTAGATAGTGTATAGCGTATACGTGATGCAGTAAAAATGTAGTATAGGGGACAAGCCAACTTTTGCGGTCGTTCTCGATTCCCCAAGGCTCACAATTATGTCTTTGTTTTTTTTTCTTTTTTATTTCTTCGTTTTTTTTCTCCTTTATTCCTTTTTTTCGGTCTTTTACACACACACTCTTGCCAGCACTTTTGCTCTATACTAGACTGGTTTTGTTGGGTGGTAGCACCACGCGCAGAGAATGTTCACCAGCAGTATATATGTATACATACACATTTATATATATCGCACAATAGAGAGCAGAGAGGGTGAGATCTGGCAGTCGTCGGATAACGGGAATGGGGCGTCGAACCCACATCACCTCCACCTTCACCTCCATCCCCTTCAGACGACGGTGAAACGACGAGCCAGCGAGCAAACCGGCGGATCGTATATCCGCTGGCACCCACGCGACACGACGACGTCATCGTGCGCCACCTTAAAGGTTACTTCACACCAGTTAACTGTTATAAATTATTTATTTACTTTTTTTATTTTTTATGTAATTACTCACCAGTCATACTCGCTTCAATTATTAACTGACTGGTGAGTTCTGTTTAATTTTTTAAATTTGATTTCTTTTTTAGAAATTTTCATTTTCAACCAAACAGTAATTTTTAAAATTGTGTGAATTGTAAAAAGAAAAAAAAGTACGATGGAAATCGATCTTATTGATGGTTCGA